CCCCCCCCCCCCAACCCACAACCTAACTCTCAGTTCTACCCTTATTATGCTTAACCATTTTTTTTCCCATCCAGCTCAATCAAAGCAACCTAAGCCGCGACACCCCACTTTCCCGGCCCAGAGTTTCCTCAATAGGTTCCCGGCCCCGGAGCTTCTCGATCCCCCAAGCTGCCGCTTCGTGCGGAATAAGGATGTCTTTCTTCTTTTCGGTGTCGTACGTTGACTGACTTTTTGCCTCATACTATCCCCTCAAGCGGTCCCGTTCTGCATTACATGATGAGCATTTTGCTAACTTCGTGTGTTTCTTTGTTTTGTCTCCAAAAAGGAACGGGAGATAGAAAAAGTGAATGTTTTTTATCTTCAAAAGGAGGCAGAGGTTGGTCGCTACCCTTCCATTTCCATCCCAGTTTTAATCGCTGCGATGAACAATTTTCGAGATACGCTTCCTTGAGAATATAGAAGAAACCCAGTTTCGGCTAGGTTCCTAAAATGAGCTTTAAAAAAGCTAATACAACGTCCATTATAACAGTTCACGCTGCGCCTCAAGACGCTTCTCGATAAGAAGAGGCTAATACAGTCGAAAAAATGGGTTACTAATTCAAAGGCCCCAGCGAATTTCGTCACCCTGTTCGAAGGTTTTCAACAGTTTGACGGGGACTTGAACAAACTTCAGGTGAGTTGACTATGCTGTGGCGTAGATCGATACAGATCTCAATGGGAGAGTCAAGTTTCTAAACTTTTGCGACGACATAACAGCAATTCGTCGAGGTCAACGAAACCGCCGTCTCCAAAATTCTGAAAAAGGTTTGTCGCTATATCCCCTCATTGCGCTTGATCGAGATCCCCCCCGGATAGACCGGGGGAAAAAGGAACTTGGAATATAAGAAGAGGAGGATTGCTGACACTTGTTCATATTTAGTGGGATAAAACATCAAAGGTCCGATTACCATCGCTAATATTAAGGGAGAACTGCAATGGGGGATAAGTCTAGCTAACAATAGGATCCACCTAGTCACGTACAAAAGAACTTTATCTTCATCGCGCCGTTGAAGTACAGCCGTGCTTTAATCGAGAGGTTCTGCGAGATCTCTCTGACCGAGCGACGACCGCAAGGTTAGAGCTTGAGGCTTGGGCGGAAGGCGAAAATATTCAGTTCGATGCCTCACGCCTGGCTGATCGCATTGTTGCCGAAGAGGATGATTCCGACTTACAGATCTTACAAACCACCGCTGCAGGTAATTTTCAAACGTTGCGGGAATGGGTTGCGAAGTTGCAGTCGTCGCCGGATGGCGCGGATCGACTCACACGTATGTTCCTGGCTGCAATTAATGAGTATCCCGATGAGGTCCTTGCCCTTCTTCTTGGCACGGGTTTGGTGGACGTGAATGCGGAAGATGATATCAACGAGCGCAACTGTCTCCACGAGGCGGCGATATCAGGGCGCCTATTTGTTCTCATGGCCGGACTGGAGCGTGGGGTTGACGTTGCACGGTCAGATGTCTACGGGAGGATACCTCTTCACTATGCCTGTATGCATGGTAGAGTGGAGATGGTGAAACCCCTCCTCGATGCAGGCATTTGTACTATTGACGCGATGGATCACGATAATTTCACCCCACTAATCCACAGCATCATCCGGGATCAGCTTCCCTGTGTGGAACAGCTCCTTGCCCATAACGCTCGCATAAACCCGGCATCCGAGTCCGACCATATCCCGCTGAACCTGGCCTGCCAGCACGCATCGCTACCAATCATAAACCTTCTCTTGGAGAGGAACGCTGAGTTACTCCCTGACGCAGAGGGTTTATATCCGCAGCATCTCGTCGCGAGGTCATGTCGAGCTCCAGAAGTGCTCCTTGTGCTAAAGAGCCATGGAGCTGATCTCGACCAAAAGGACAAACTCTACCAATGGACCCCGATTTTCCACGCGGCAAGTGAGGGGTGCGTTGGTTGTTTGAGAACTTTATTGGAGTGCGGTGTAAATCCCGATGTTTTGGATGAAAAGGGATTATCCGCTATGTACTATGCTGCATGGGAAGGTCACCTAGAGTGCATGATATTGCTCTGGTCAAGACGGGCAGGTTCAAAACCACCACGGACACCGCTGGATATACTCAATGGCCCTAGATTTCGAGATTCGGGGTCGATGACTTCCCCTCTCCTCGCTGAAAAATCAGGAGGACTTAAAGCAGGCGACGGTGGTGACGGCATTCCTCTTCTATCTCTACCACCCCCGATTATTCCATTACGAAGATACGGCCATAATTTCCTTGACACAAAAACATTCATTCAAATATACTTTGAACAAACGCTGTCCTCAGAACCAATTGTGTTTTACCAGGCCGGCCGTTATGCTGCTGCACGATTGACGATTTCCTCCAAAACCTCAGATCTTATACCCCGAAACGTGATGTTACCCATTCAGGATGACGCTCGACTTGTATCATTCCAGATCGACCGTCTGGACACCTTTGCTCTAGAGTTTGAAATTTTCCCTACTTTTGGATCCAAGGTCATCGCCAAAACTGTTGCTTTACCGGATGTATTTATAGGTGGCAGGTTATCAGAGGGGATATGTACCTTACCTCTTTTCGATCCCAGGTTACGAGCAATCGGTGAGATACGCTTCAAGTTCCAAGCTATCAAGCCCTACCACGGTGATCCGCTGGAGATTACACATTTTGCTACTTACTGGAAGGCGACAAGCACCCTTGATTCGGATCACAATGGACTGGTGACTGGCTCGAGTTTATCAGGCGACTACGTCCAGGTTTTTGTCCAGTTGACCAAGGACGGCGTTCCCGTCCTCTACCCAGAGTTCACCGTTAACCATCATGGGATCGACATCCCCATCTGCCGCCTATCCTTCGAACAATTCCGCGCTATCCACGCCGAATATCTGGCCCAAACCAGATCCGAGGACGCCGCCTTGCTTAAATCCCTAGAAGATATGACGGTGGATGACATGGCGCAAGCGCATAGATTATTAGCAACGTCCTTCCTCTCCCTAAAGGAGGTCCTCGAACACCTCCCCACAAACATCCACGTAGATCTATGCATCCTATACCCCTCACCAGCCGAAGAGGCGAAACTTGGCCTTGGCCCACTGGCGGATATCAACACCGTCGCCGATGCGATTCTCACAGATGTCTTTACCCATGCCAGAGTGTCGAAGGAAACGAACCCGGATTTTATGCGCTCGGTCGTATTCACCTCGTATAATCCTAATATTTGCATTGCGCTGAATTGGAAACAACCAAACTGTAAGTTGTCCACCATCAGTTTGCCACTGACATGTGAATAATTCAAAAATTAACCCCCATGTCTCTAGACCCTGTTCTCCTTTGCAACGACCTAGGCCAGATCCGCGACCTGACACAGGATGTCAGCTCGCTACCCGTTATCCGGAGTAGTGGGCGCTCGTCAATGTCCATTAAGGAATCCGCGCGGATAGCCCAGAGCAATAACTTCATGGGCTTGATGTGTCGTTCGAGTTTGCTAGTAACGTCCCCACGTTCCCGAGCTTTCTTTCTTTCACCTTTTAATTTATTTTTTTTGTACTCTATTATATGTTATTTTTCTATACTCTTTCTTTTTGCCTTATTGGTCTTTGGCACACTTTTCCTATTCTAACCGTTTCACGTAGAACGTCATGCCGTCCCTCGTCGAGTCGATCAAGGAACTCGGCCTCGTCCTTGTCGCCGATACATCTGACGAGATCTTGGACAAGACCCGTTTCGGTCTCGGTAGCGGTAAACTAGCCAGTCATGATCGTAATCATGAACAACAACAAGGTCGTGCTGGTGCTGGCGTTGGCATTGGGGTTGGAGTTGGAGTTGGAGTGTCCGCGGAATGGGCGTATAAAATGCCCGAGGGCGTGAATGGGGTTGTGAGAGGTAATGGTGTTTTGCGATTTAATGATACGATTGATATGTGACGTGATGTGATGTGATGTGGATTTAACTTGGATCGGATATCCCCTAACCGTCCAAGATCTTTTCAGCCCTCCCTTTTTTTATTTTATATAGAGGGTATATATATATACCACTCCCAATATTTGGTCGTTATCCGAACTTAACTATTTACTCATGGGTAGAATGTGGAGTAATAAATTCATCGACTGTTTATTCTCGCCTTCCTTCCTACGTCCTTTATTGCGCTCTCATCCACATAGTCAGTCATCCATTGCTACAAGCCCACATATTTATGCATGTTTGAGATATGAGTGTACATATCTATACTCCCATGATTTGTAAAATTTTAAACACAGATTCGGACTCCTCTGCCCATCGTAGAATAAAATAATGTGATCTATGTAGTAGTCGTAGTAGTATACAAGAGGAGTTTATATGTTAAGACCCAAGCGGGGTGTCTAGATGTGTGTGACAAGATTTGTGATGATGAGAGATTATATCAATCGAAAAAAAGGGGAACCGGAACCGGGCCTCGGAAACATAGAGATGTTGGAATCGGGGGGTGTCAAAGGGTGAGTGCCGTACGTGGGCTTATAGTATACAAAACGAGTAGGTAGATTTGTTTCCACGGACATGAGATGGTGATTTGCGGCGGCGTATGTCTGGGGTGGATGGGGGGATGGGCTGATTGTATGTGTCTGGGTATGTGTCTAAGAATGCTCCGCAGGGGGTGAAAATTAAGGAACGCTCTCTTTTGCGCGCAAGGAGAGGAGAAAGCGGGAGTGGGGGGTTTCCTAAAAGTCCTTCCGTTTGCATCATATAAATTTCAGGTACTTTTAGGCTTCTTCTTCCCGATATCCCAACCCCATCGTCGTAGCACCTTGACAACTTTGGGCGTCACCGCTGCCGTCAGTGGGACTCGGATGAAAATGAAACTCTTGTGGATGGCATAAGCTAGGGCGAGTTGCGTCCATAAACCTGACAAAAAAAAGATGGCTTCGTTAGTTGGGACAAACTTTTCAGAAAAGCAGTTCATGGTCGTCTCCTCCCCGCCCCAACACGACAATTAGAGATATCTATATAAAAGGGAGACGATGATATGACGTACTAGCCTCAGGTCCCGTATTCCGCGCGTCAGCCTCCAAAACCCCATGATCATACGATTCGGCATCCTCAGCTCCGCTGCTGATGTCAGCACCCGCAATCGCGACATCGCCTCCTGCACTTCCTACTTTATCATCCGCGGGAACCCCGGCTATTTCCTGTTTCCCCATGGACGGCAGAACTGAGCCAAAAATACTCTTAAACCCTTCCACAAGCACATGTTCGTAGTGTCCAATCCGTTCGACACCTAGTAGCCGCACGGCGATGAAGCAAAATGGGAAATCAAGGGCAGAAAGGGTCAGGTAGACGCCTAGCGCGGCCCAGCCGTATTCCCGGGAGAGCTTCTTCATGCGCTGGGAGAAGCTGAGTTTCGGCGAGGAGGAAGAGGAAGAGGAAGAAGAGGATGAGTTGCTGGAATTCGACCGGCGCGGGGAGCGGGATTGGATTCTTGATCTTATGACATTGTTGAGGATGTTGCTGGCATTTAATCGAGGTCGTAGAGGGGTCGCAGATATGTGGAAGGGTCGGACATGCGGCGGTTTCTTAATCGGCAAGGACAGAGATTGTTTGCCGGCTGTTCGTGGAGTGAGAGATTGGAATGTTGAGAAGGGGGTTGGGAGTCGTTTCAAGCTGCCTTGAAGGAACAGGTGGGAGGGTGGAGGCATGGTTCGGTGTGTAGTAGTAGGGAGGCCTCTGTATATATGAGGGGTTCAAAAATCTCCCGCGAATAGCCAAAACCTAAGCCCTGGCTGTGTTTGGCAGACTCAGGTATTTTCTTTTTGTTTTGATGATGTCAATCGCCAACAATATTCAAGGAATAAAAAAAAGTGAGGCAGAGGATTTGGATAAATAAATAATAAAATACCTACTAGTTCCTGAAAAGAGATTTGCTCCATCCACAACAGGTATTTCTGCGAAGAACAAGTCGGGAGAGAGCAGACTGCTATGACAACTGCTATGACACTCCCAAGAATACTCCGAGCATCCGCATCAATCAAGTCTGTGTCGCCGTGTTATTTTATGCTTCGAATTTCCGCTTTCGACGCAAATGCTTCCGGATATATTTCACGTGATGACGAGCCAGAGGTTGTCGAATAGCGATAGCGCTAGTCTATATCAGGCATAGCGCCCGGTCACCAAATTCCTCGCGGCTTCAAATCGTCTCGAAAAGCTGCATACTTGCGTTTGGTGTTGGGGATAAATGCTTCGAGTTCACTTTCAACCCGTGTCTTCCTCTCCTGGCTTCGACTGTCTGTCTTAACAGCCTTTAGCCATGCCCCCGTGGCTACCAGGGAAGCATGCGCTGCTGTCCCTCTCCACCTCAATCCCCCGTCTCGCCATCGAAAATGTTCTGACCAAGAGGGCATTTGGCATCAAGTCCATGTACCCGCCAAAAGCAGACCGTTTCAATGTTGGTCCCAATCTCCCCGTCCTTACATCTCGTCCATCGGTAGCCCATCAGCGCAAAGCCGCCACCACCCCTCTACGAACCGGCGCCCTGGCCATCAAAAAGGGAATGACCGCAATCTTCGATCTAGAGACCGGCAAACGAATCCCCTGTACTGTCCTCCAACTTGACCGGGTACAAGTCGTCGCCCATAAAACCCTCAAGAAAAATGGCTACTACGCTGTCCAGGTTGGTTGCGGTTGGAAACATGAGCGCGCCGTCACACGACCCATGTTGGGCCATTTCGCAGCCAACGGCGTTGCGCCCAAGCGGCATATCCATGAGTTCCGGGTCAAGGACGAAAACGGCCTATTGCCCATCGGAGAGACGATCAATGCGGATTGGTTCCAGGAAGGCCAATACGTCGACGCACGATCAAATAGTCGAGGAATGGGATTTGCAGGCGTCATGAAGAGACATGGTTTCCACGGTCAAGATCGGAGCCACGGTGTGAGTTTGACCCATCGTTCGATGGGTTCATCGGGTCCCGGTCAGGGTGGCGGTTCTCGTGTGTACCCAGGAAAGAAGATGGCGGGTAACATGGGTAATGAGCGAGTGACGCAGCAAAATCTGAAGGTACTGAAGGTTGATGCCGAGAAGGGCATTGTGGTTGTTAATGGTTAGTTGCGTTTACCTTAGCCATTCTCTCCTGGTCAGTAACTAACAATGATGGCTATATAGGAAGTGTAAGCGGTCCGAAAGGCTGCATCGTGAAATTGCAGGATGCAATCAAAAAGCCGTGGCCAGAAATTGCGCTGAAGCAAAGCGCCGGAGGAACTAAACAAGAGAGTTGAGATATATAAAGCATGTTTAAATGTTCTTCCCTTCATGTATTATTGTATAAAATTTATCAAGATATTTTGTTTAAGGCGTACGAATAGATCAAATTAGGTTCACTTTATTTTTTTATCCTTTTTTTAAAGAAATGTCGATGGTTCTTCCCTTTTGAGATCTGACCATTTGGTTATTTTCGCTACTAGTTGAGTTGTTTCCAAAAATCCCAATGCTATATAGTACAGTACACTCATTAAATGCACACCCCCGATATGTATAAAACTCCTGAACGCCACGCGATGAAGCAAAGGGTACTGTAGGCACCGTTTCTCACCGGTTAATGCACATTGTCCTTTTTCATATCGACGTCTTCAAGTCAGTCGTAGTGTCGCCAGACATCACATTTTGGAAAGGGTCTCCTTGCGATGCATCCAATAGCTGCACTACCGTGCCATCCTCCAGTGTAAGAGTCCAGTTTTCGGTTCGGAACTAGGGCGTTCAAGTATTAGCATTCAATTCCTTTTAGAAAATATGGACGGAAATAAAGGGATAAATCCAATAAGGAGGATGTAATAGAACTCCACTTACATATCCATTTCTTCCATCCCTAATACTCCGGAACCTCATCTTCGCCTTGCTCTTCGTTCCCTTGACCCAAAACGAAATATCAATCCGCCCATGCAACTGATTCATCTCCCCGCTAATCCACGGAATTTTCTGCGCAAAGTATATCTCGTCACCTAGAAGTTCCCTTCCCTTGGGCGATACCCGCAACGCATACAGGGTGCTATTCACCACGCTTGACGAGGATTTCTGGTAATTGAACATGCCTAGCATGGAAGCGCCAACGACGACGAAGAAAATTGGCAAGGTACGGAGCCACCTTCGGCCCGACTTTATTGAAGGAAGCTCGCGGTCTGCTCGCCGGCTTAGGAGGGGTCCTGAATGCGGCCCTGGTGCGGAGATGAGTGAGCGGCGGAGGAGGGGACGGGCGGAAGCGGGATGAAATAGGGTGTTTGATCTGCGGCCTAAGGGACGAACAGCTCGAAGAAAGCTCATGGCTGGTATTGATTTCATCGCCATTCTTTAAGGGCTGACTTCTGCGGCCTTTTAAATTTCGATATTATGTAGGATCAGAAGTCCCGGTAGTTCTCTTTCCCAGCTCCGGTGTTTAAGGGTGTAGTTACGGAGTATAATAGTACTGTGGATTGTGAGCAAAGAACGATTGAGGTCACATGATATCTAATTCATCTCACATGACTTACACAGCTATCCCATTACAAAGAAGTCCGTAATTGTAAGCTTGCCTGTTAGATGTTATTCCTCAGGTATTGAAATTGTTTGGAAGATTCAAATATCAGTGAAGGACGTCTTCTACCACAATAATGGCATCCTTGAATTTGCGAAGAACATTCCGTTACCCAGACTCAGAGAGCGAGAATGAAGCTAGAGAAGAGATGGATGAACAGGGTAAGCAAGTGCTCCGTTATCCATGGGATATGTGATGTTTGCTTGATCCTAGGACTTTGGAGAGGGGTGTACTAATCTAGACATGGCTTCCAAATTTAGAGCAAGAGGAGGTGATTCAAAAGTTGCTACGTCGGGATGAAGATCGCAATGCTCAATATAGAGTATGTATATTTGAGCTTCTAACTGGCAAGAGTCCTAACAAAACAAATCTTCAAGGTGTTGTTGACATTATCTCGTAGCTTGTGTTCACCGCCATACCGCTAGCTTCTGTCTTCCTCTATCTGCCCTGTATCTTGTCCTCCACATCTACGGGGTCCGGGAGGCTTCTCTGCCTACTCAGCATTACCTCCCTTCTCTCAACAGCGTACATTATGAAATATTTCCGACTAGAACGGCCAGATCCCAAAGGCAAACGCCCCATAAGAGACATTGCAGCTGAGCAGGGGCCCATGATAGTTAGGCAGCATCTTTCCACTGCAAATACTGTCATTTGTGCCCTGCTCTCCGTTATTGCATTTTACGCTGCAAATCAGACCTATCAGGGAGACATTTTCTGGGCCTTATATCTAGTTCCTGGTAGTAAGTTCACCCAAAATGGAGTTTCTCATCCCTGTGTTCGAATAAGACGTTAAATTTGTCTGATTAACTGGGAACAGTTGTTTTCCTCCTTGTTTCGGTTTCCAGGCAGATCATGGTGTCAGTTGATATTAAAGAGCTCGAAGGTCTGCGCTATGAGTATAAAGGCGCTTAATCACCCTGCATATAGCACGGGAGTTTCTCTCCTTGCTTTGGAGGAGGATCATTCACACATGGCACGATAGTGGTTATGGAGCCACACCATGGGCGGCGGATGGCGGGTGTTGCATATCTGTCGGCCTTCGTGCTTTCAATCATTGAATGCTTCAGCCATCGAATCGCGCGTAGCCCACATGAGACCCCATGAACGCTGCGGCAGTTTTCTGCCTGACTGATGCTTATATGAGATAACTACTCATCAACCAAGAGCTACGGCCTTGGCATTTGCTTACTCTCTGCATGACTGCTGAAGCGACTCCCTGGGTCATGAAACATGGAACGAGAAGCAGAAACGAATTGTTTACGGCTCTCTTTAGCGGTGTGATTAAGGATTTCTTCATAGGACTTAAAGGATCCTGACATTTTGTTCAGAGCAGCGCTAAATGAAATACATTAAGGTTTTCGATTTTGATAATTAGATTGACGAGCACGGGAAATAAAATAAAAGTCCAATTACGATTATTTTCGCTTGCCAAAATTGGCGATAGCTATATGTATTGACTGCTTATCAAACAATACTATTCGCGAGATTGTATTTGACTTAAGTTAATGAGGAGGAAAAGAAAAAGAAGACAGATACAAGGAGGCAACATGTCAGAACTTCGGCAAAATCAAGATACATGAGCAACCGCACTAATCTTCGTTTCTTGGTATTAAACTGAACGTCATAAAAAAAGAGGGAACTGGAACTGGGACTAGGATACTACATGACACCACATATCAAGGGTTAGTGCCCGGATGGCTTTGGAAAAAAATATCGCTACATCTCTGGAGCCACAATTTAACTCCACCCGTCACTTTCATCTTCTTCGCGACCACGACCCTCTGCCCAGCGCACAGCCATCATTTTCGCTTTGCGATTCCTCTCCGCCTCTGTCATAGGATGTGACTGGCTTTCGAGTCTTTCAGGTGGTGAGGGCTGAGACTGGGTATTGACGGTAAGTGTACCTGGTGGATTTCCTCCGCCCTTTGCAGTGGCTGGTGATGAATTTGGAGGTAGGGAAAGTTCATTGGGCGTAGAGGATTCCATATCAACATCCTCAGCATTAACAGCGGGGTGAGAACTAGCTGTTGAAGGATGGCTTCGGTCCCGTTCCCGTTCCCGTTCGGGTTCTCGTTCTGGTGCTCGCTCTGGTTCAGGTGATGTGGCCTCTAAGACGGGAGCGTTGGCCAGGGATGATTCATTATTATGCCGGGTAGAAGAAACACGCCGACCCGATCTCCTAGTTCCTGTTACATGAATCGAGTTCTGTTTCCCCGCATTCGTTGGCGGCTGGTCCTCCTCGCTCGAAGGGTCTATCACTTCCATATATGTAACTTTGGCTCTACCTCGTTTCCTACCAGGTTTCCCCTTGGGCTTCCACTGGCGCTGCTTTCGTAATTTTCGTAATCTGAAATCATCGTCGTCCTCTGGTCTATAAGTTTGAAGTCTATCTGGCTGGGTTCGATTGGTGTACTTGATCGCGTTAGCCGATAAAATATCAGACTGTATGATTGCATTACTGGACAGATCAACCACACCATCCATACCGAATTCCTGGTAGGAATTCACGTTGGGATGTTGAACTGATCCATTATTTTGACTATTAATGTCCATCGCGGTTTTGTTTGCTTGGTCTTGAGCCGCACCAGGAGGGGTGGTCTCTGGGTCCGGATATTCGAATGTGATAACCTCTGTTGCTTCGTAGCGATCTGACATCTCTTCCTGGAACATAGCGTTGTCCGGCATAGCGAAATGAGGGTTAGGGGCAAGAGCTTCATACTGCCCAGACATCATGGCCGGATCGATAGGAATCGCCTCTTCCTCAGCGACGTTGAAGTTACTTAGAGTCGGGTCCACTGGAATGTTTTCCTGTCTTGCCAATCTAAGGATTCCTCCTTCCACTGGATCCATATAGTGTTCGTCAAGTGTCGGGTCAATAGATTTGGCTTTTTGAGCTTCCTCCAGTCTTTTCCTGATTCTCCGTGTGTCTTGATTTTGTGGATGATCACCCGCCTTTTTTAGCCAAGTCAAGTTTGATTGACTGAAGTCGACGAGGCTTTCGACACTTCTCGGATCCGCCACCTTTCGGGTATCATGGCCAAGCAAAGTTCCAGAGGGTTCAAAAGGTTTCATCGTAGGATCACGGCGACAAGCCCCACACGAACAAATTTTTCGACATCTTGGGCATGTCCAGTTCGGATTTTCCAGGACAGTGAGGGGAGAGATCTCAAAAGCTCTAAAAAGACTACCGTAACAGTAGTTTAATCCGCATGTAGAGCAGGATGCCTGTTTCCAGGAAGGTTCCGGAGTTTTGCAGATATGACAACTTCCATGCTCCTTTCTCCATTTCTCCGATCTTCGAATCTTACGACGCTTTCGAACCCGCCCATCATCATTGGTTTCAATAATATCTTCTTCCTCCTCCTCACGGTCCGGCGTTTTGGTAATGTCAGTCCATGGCCTCCGTTTCAGTTCTTCTTGGCAAATTTCTGCGAGGGTCTTTTTGCCCGTACGTTCCCTTTCAATAGGCAGAGTCTGAGGTAACTGGGAGGGATCACTGCGTTTATCAAATTGAATGATTTGGTTTCTCCAGGTATCATAATTCCGCACCAGGTCTTTCCACCGAAACTGTTCAACCCATCTAAGCTTGGAAACGCACGCGCAGCTTCTCCCGATAGAATAACACTCCATGCAAATATCGTATGTATCATCATCACCATCAGGTAGCTTTCCGACGCATGAAGGGCAGGTCAAAAATCGATTGAAAATGTTACATCTGCAATATGAACATGTGACATTGCTATTGAAAGGAAGATATTCAACATTCCTCGGCTCTGACATGTTTCTCGAATAGCTTTCAGATATCAATATTTTGGTGTAGAGTGAAAACAAGCGTCGGAAATCCTTCTGAAGCTGGCGTATGTTATGGGTGTAGTGACCGTGGTGAGTATCACGGAGAAGAGTGGAATATTTGTTGAGAGTATAATAAACAATAGCTTTGTTTTTATACTGCTCATCGCGACAAACCATTCTTGCCTTTGGAAGAGCCTCATTTATAGCCATTTCCAATGTTTCAACAGTGGTCCTATTCCACGCAACTTTCATGGTCCGAGTTCCTCTATTCCAAACTTGATGTGGAGCAAGAGGAGGAATGAGGATTAAATCGCCGACTCTTTGCTCGACAATATATGTTTTAAAAGGCGCAGCCTTCCAGGCGTTGATTTGGGCGAAATGATTCTCGATCTCAATGTCGTGCCCAAGCGTTGATAACCAGTATTCGGAGACCAGGTGTCGATCCTTCGTTTCCGTCATGAACCAAATCGAGGAGCCTGGTTTGGTGGGCTTACCATCCTCCACTGAACCAGTCGAAGTTTCCACCATGATGTTATGACCTAGTGTAGCGCACATTTCACGATGCGCCGGTGTATAGGTACCCTCATGCCCAATGTAGCACATCAGATTCTCAGCCCTCATTTCAGGGGGAAGACTGCTCATCAAGTCTCCGGCTTTGCTTCCTCTCTCATTTGTAGACTCGTTTAAATAATATAGAAATGGAGGAAGCAAATCTTTCAGTTTCTCATACCAAACCGAAGGGCAGTCGATATCTTTCAAATAAATTCGTTGGCGGTTAGTATCCTTGTAGTTTTTTGCATTCCACTGGTCGGTGAGCAGCGACATGTTCTTCAAGTAGTGGTTTATGGAAAGGGGTAAGTTCGATTTAGTGGTTAAGTTCCTCGCGTTCTCGACTATTTCACAGGATTTGTTAGATGAAAAAAAAGTACGCATTGGATCTAAATATCAAGAAGTGCATGACATACTCTTGGAGCCGTGGTTATCTTTCAACCACTGAAGCCCAAATATCCATTTCTCTAGTCGATCCTGATACCCTTCAATGACCAATGGCCTCCCGCCTATGATGACATGTAGGAGGACCAGCTTTTCGAAGTTCTCAATCCCCTGTTCAATAATCGCATCGCAATGGATTCTAACAACATAGTCGAAATTGGGGGTTGATTCAACGAGCGCAACAAGGTCGAGGTCTGGGGATATGGGCTCGAAAGCCGCTCGTGGGTGACTAGGGCTGGGCATCGCGGCGGTAATGATGGGGAGGGGTTATCTCGAAAGTACCAATGTATCAAAAAGAGGTTCGGTTCGAGGGTCGGGATGACGGCGCATTCCAGTTCATCCCAAGCTAGCAGAACGACTGGTGGCTGCTGAGGAGAAGCTCTACAAATGAGTGCGCTGCGTACACAAGGCGCGTGACAAGTCGCTTGGCTGCTTTACAACGCGGTACCTATGCTTAGTCATGTGACAATAATCATCAACATATGTACTCCGTAGAAGTAGAATCTACAGATTACTCTGTAAAATATCTTAAAATTATTATATTATAATTGACTTATAATAATAAGTTTAATCTCAATGTGATTTTAGAACATGTTCAATCATTTCAAAACCTCTGGTGACTTGCATACATTTGTTCCCATGCATCGCATCTGTGTCAAGTCCCGACCACGTACCTCTTAGTCATTCCTGTCAAGACAAGCGACAAAAAGATACCTCGCGGCTAGACGAAATGGATTGATACCCCTTGAGGTGTGTTGGGTCACGTGGCCACATTGTAGGGCATCTGGCTAACACCTAAGTTTCAAGGTTGGGATTTATATACAATACTCATTATTACCATTACAATCTTATCATAGTTTACCTAATTGCTTACTAGGAACCTTTCGGATTGGGTTTACAGCTCGTCGACAGGATAATCAGAATACCTCAACCCCCTGCATTTCGCGCGTTGCGACCTCATCAGCAGCTATGAGGATATTTTCTTGTCGCCAGTTTCCTCTACACCTGTATTCACTACCAGAGTTCGCGCCAGTTTGCAAAACGAAAACTAGATTAAGTTGTCAATACTATGTATTACGGCACAATCAGTTGCAGTCCCGTGCATCACACAGTAAGGGACATAGGAGCCCGACCAACACCACCGATCTCATCACAAAAGGAAAATTGGGTTTACTACCGGTCAGACACATATCCTCGTCATCGCGAACATTGCACCCGTCATCTTCACTTTCGCCGAAACCCTCTCCGACTTCGCAAGCACCAAATGTGAAATACACGCCGCCAAAAACAGGGTTGCTAAGCGTGCTCCCCAAGCCGTGGATTCCATATGCGGAGCTGATTCGTCTTGATAAACCAACAGGAACATATTATCTGTTCTTCCCTTGCGCCTTTTCGACGCTACTTGCCGCACCCCTAGCGTCACCAATGGCGCATCCCTTGGAGGTTGCGTCAGTATGCGCCATGTTCTTTGTGGGTGCTCTGGTCATGCGAGGAGCTGGTTGCACCATCAACGATCTATGGGACAGGAATTTAGATCCCCATGTCGAAAGAACCAGGCTACGGCCTATAGCAAGGAAAGCGATATCGCCGCAGAATGCACTAGTTTTCACGGGCGGTCAGCTTCTAGTGGGTTTAGGCGTTCTCCTTCAGTTCCCTACCACGTGTCTGTGGTATGGCATTCCAAGCTTATTGTTTGTGGCTACATATCCCTTGGCCAAACGAGTGACGAACTATCCTCAGTTTGTCCTGGGGTTGACTTTCTCATGGGGAGCTATGATGGGATTCCCTGCCCTGAATATAGATGTTCTGGGAGACACAAATGTCATGCTAGCAGCATCTATGTTGTATTCGAGCTGCGTAGCGTGGACTGTGCTATATGATATGATTTACGCACATATGGACATCAAATATGATGCCGCTGCTGGCATTAAGTCTATTGCCTTGAAACATGAACACAACACCAAGGCCATACTCTCTGCTTTGGCTGTAACCCAGGTCGGTTTGCTAGCAGCAGCTGGCGTGGCTGTGAATGCCGGCCCCATTTTCTTTATTGGAAGCTGTGGTAGCGCTATTGCCTCCCTCGCCACGATGATATGGAAAGTCAAGTTGAAGGATGTTGAGGATTGTTGGTGGTGGTTTAAGAATGGCTGCTGGATTACAGGTGGTGGAATAACCCTTGGATTACTGGGCGAATATCTCGCCCAGGTCTTTGGATTGTATGAGACTACCGATTCCGCGATTGAAGGAAACCAGGGCAAGGAGGAACTATAATTAATGACATGGGGCAATTTTAGTTGCTTTAATGATGATATATTTTGTATTATTATTTATGCCCTGACCGATAGTTAATACCTTCGTCCCCTCCATTAGAATCCACTGTTCACTTATGTTTTTCGAGGTTGTGCTGTGCGTGTAGTACTACGTATATATTCATAGTTCACTTGCGGTCCCTGTAACGCTGCTTGGTCAGCAGTCTGATTTCCGCAGTGGCGCTGGTTTTAGCGCGGCTTGAGTTAGTTAATCCAATGGCGGCAGCTTGAATGTCAATCCATGGATTAAATTGACAACCACGCTGCGCCTACAACTTCCTACCTCTCATTATCACCCATTTACCGTATTTCTTTCTTGAACAAAAGACATCGCTTTAGACTTTAACAATGGCTGCTAGGATAGGCATGAGCCCTGTGAGTTTATTATTCCCCGGCGATCGCGAAAATTCCTACTTCCCACCAAGACCCAGAAGAAGTCTAACAATTATGTCATGTCATTATAGCTTTTTAGGGCTCTCCCCAGGCCGACATCCGCTTTCCGCAGACCGCCGCCATTCCTAAATACTCTCCCATCCCAGATCCGCCTGCTTTCCGATGAAACAAGAGCTGCCATTGACAAAGCAGTGGCATCTGCGCCGGTTGTTTTGTTCATGAAGGGTACCCCAGAAACGCCGCAGTGCGGATTCTCAAGAGCAAGCATACAAATTCTTGGACTCCAGGGAGTAGATCCGAGGAAGTTCACCGCATTCAATGTTTTGGAGGATCCGGAGCTGAGGCAAGGTAAGCGCTTCTCTTCCGTCTCTTTCCGCAGTTCGGACCGTGGCCCCAAATCGTTGACAGATCAATGATTGACAAACCCTTTCTTTCTATGCTGTAGGTATTAAAGAATATTCGGACTGGCCCACAATCCCGCAGGTGTATCTAAACAAGGAGTTTATTGGCGGTTGCGACATCTTGATGTCCATGCATCAAAACGGGGAGCTCGCGAAGCTCCTGGAAGAAAATGGGGTCCTTATTCCTGCCGAAGCGGAAAATGAAGCGCACAAAAAATGAGAAGCCCCGAGAATCTACGTTATGAAAAGATAAATCACGAAAACCTTGGTCCCAGCAGGATCTTTTGTACTATAAATTCTTTCTATTTTGTGTTTAGCTAAACTGTCAGATTTCTCTACTTGATGCGATTCCCCCTTCTTCCTATTGGCAATAATTGATGCCTGGGTTTATTGTCTCGATATGCGCTGTACATATTTAGATATACAGTGCACAGTTAGCAGATTAGAGAGGGAAATATGCCTATATACCTATGTATTGGTTTCCTTGAAGGGTACACGTATTCCTCTCTAGCAATGTTTGGGTTTGTCTGCATTGTGGTGTTGGTTTTGATACCACTACTTTCCCAAGAGCCCCAAGCTGAGGTAACCTCCACCACGGCGCTTGGGCTACTTTACATTCATCTAATGAACCCAACTCGCTTCTTCAACCCTAGACTTACTGCTCCTTTTCTTTCCTTTCCTTTCACAGTTTCTATCTCCTATCCTACTCACAATACATTGCTCTCTGGGAGTAGCTAGAGGAAGAAAGGGGTCTGTCACCTGTGGATCCTTTACCCTGTTTTCACTTGGCCCATTCCCACTGAAGGCTCAGAAAAGATGTCACGTACTCGTGGAAAACAAGTAGTGTCTATCCGTGGCATTTTTGGGCGAAAAGTTGCACAGAAAGATGCTTCTGTCCGTAAACCTGCCGCCTATTACAACATGAGAAGCCGGAAGTATCCTCCTCCACAGAAGTCAAGTGGTTCCAAAGTCTCAAAGGGCCCGAAACGGTTCACATCGATCCAGTTCGGACGTCGCAACCTGAAAGGCGCAGACTCATCAATGACTATCAGCAGTGGTACCTCTGGTTCAGACGGACAGCGTCTCCTCCATGACTTCGTTGGTGCGTCTAGCTATGAATTTGTTTTGTCCACATGATCCTGGCTGCTAATGACGCTCTCCTGAAAGACTCCATCAACACCACACACTCCCAAATCGAAGAGGATATTTCTAAATCGCTGGTAGAAGCAGAGAGAGCGTTAGAGAAGCGAGTCGCGCAGACAATCTCGGAACACGACGAGAAACTTGAGCTTTCGCGCGCTACGCGTGCTGCTATCTTCTCCCCCCTGGAGCCAGAATCTCTGAAGAGTGCAGCTTCCCTAGCTAAAAGCAAGGATAAAATCCATCTCGCCGACGTTTGCAATATACTCAGCCCTACCGAAAAGGCTCTGAAGGGCCACTGGAAGGCATGGGCCAAAACCCAGCAGAAAATTGCCTGCTTGGCGGTTGAGATACTCGGCCCTGAATCCGTGGCTCTCCCACGACCTACGAGAGAGGCCATGGGTTCGGGGGCATTTAAGAAGAGACTCGCCAGCGCGGCTGATGCGTTCGAGAAGCAGGAATCCGTAGAGCTAAAGATGTTGGCAGATGTGCAGAAATGTAGGGATGATATCGCCTGCCTGGCAGGGGAGATGAGGAAACAGGTTACCGCTCAGGAAAAGGTATACTATATTCCATCCTCAGCTTTTATGTTTTACACTTCTTTCTGCGCTTGGCGAAGCCGGACATTATAGCCAATGAATTAATTCTTTTTTCTTTTCCTTGTAGAAATCGCGAGACGGCAAACGGAAGCAGAGAGAAGAAATCTGCCAACTGGCTAGGAAGATGATTGCGAATATATGACCTGACCTCATCGATGGTGGAATTCACAATTGATTAAGGGGAAAAAAGAAAGAAAATTAACGAAATGCTTTGACTTATATTCTTATGTTATTGCATCAGTTTCCTACGCCAGAACTTGTCTATGGTGCTCTCTCCCAACTTCTATCACCTATCGCTGCCCATGTGCTTTTATCCTTTCCGTTTTTTTCACCCTCAAAAAGGTAAAATGGTGTTATATAAATACTAATCAGTATCGAGATATCATGTAGATTCTTATATCATGAATTATTTAAATTCTCGTCTTTCTACAAAATTAATATCATTCAAGACATTTTCGTTGTTTCCGTGGCGATAAAATCTATTGCGTTTGTTGCCAGAGAGAACAATCTTCCCAGTAGTTTTGGGCGATCGACGGAACAGCGGCAGAATGCTTGCCCCTTGCATTCAGTTTCTGGAGGACGCACCCTTTCCTATTCGGGCTAGTTTCCGGCATCCATCGATTTACCCCTATTCCCGCTGCTGCTGCTGTTGCTGCTGTTGCTGCTATTTCCGCTGCTGCTGTTGCTGTTGTTGCTGCTATTTCCGCTGCTGCTGTTGCTGTTGTTGCTGTTGCTTCTCAAGCTCTTCCTTGGCCTTGAATTCCGCTTCACTGGCCGCCTTCAGTAGCTTAGTTCGCTGTCTCTCCTCAAATGCCTCCCGGCTCTTCAAGATCCGCTGCACAATCTCGCCAGCGTTCACATGCTCGAAGGGGTGAGAATCTACTTGTCTGAAAATTCCTAGTTTTGATGGAGCAATGTATGGATCATATGTGAGGGGTATAAATGTTGTGGGACCGTGGTAGACCGCATCAGACATGCCAAATGGTAGAGCTTTGAGATATTCAATGTTAGGCGTAAATGGAGCGCAGAATATAACGGCGTGGACGTACTATATGTGAGCAAGTTAGTTTGCTTCCTTTTGCGTGTCATATCCTGGTATCGGATCGAGAAAGGAAAAAAAAAATTAAATAAATAAAAAATAAATAAATAAAGAGTGGGTATACACATACACGACACTGGAGAACGCAAAGTCCGCGCTCAAAAATATTCATGATCGGGTAATTCAGGCCCTTCCAGTGATTGATGACTTCGTCGTCATGGACGCCGGCCACAATATAGGCTGGACCGTAATCTTCTCCATATTCCTTTACTCTGTTGTCAACGTTCTCTGGAAGGTACCAGCCACGACGAGTTGCGTCCTCAGCTTCAATCGCGAGGACACGGCGAAGAAATTCGATATGGCCGGAAGAAAATAAATCAAAACCGCCATCAACGTAGGCGATCCGCTGGCCTGGTTTTGGTCCCTTGCCATCAACGAGGTGCTGGAAACTACCTTGTTCCGTGCTAGTATGCTGGAGTTTTGCGGAGGCCGAGGCTTCCCAGGTCCACACATCGGGTCCCGGGTTTAAGCCAGTTTCATCAGTTGCATAGTCTTTAATTCTCTGGAGAGATTCACTGGCAACTTGCTTCCGCTCCTCATCGCTCCCCGAGCCCTCCTCCCCCCTCAGGAATGCAGGGAAAGACTTGATAAAATGGGTGCGTGTGCAAAGAAGCATCCTGCCGACCAGATCCGTTGTAGAAATGCCGGGGGTACGTTTCACGACCAGAAAACGCCCAGCAGCTTTGACAAATCTGTAGCAGTCATCCCCATTACTATCGGAAGTGATATCATCTCCATGGACAACATAGTAACAGCCATAGTGGGAGATCCACGGTAGCTGCGTGACATATGGCGCATGAGGAATTGACTTTGATGCCCAACGACATGCGTCAACTGCGGATACTCTTTTTCCGATGCCACCCAAACGTCAGTAATAAGTTTCCCATGCCGGTTGAAAGAACAGAGGGCGGACGGACGGACCGTTCGGAGAGTGTCATGACCGTAGGCCCCTTGTTTTCCAGAATCTCCTCGTCGGAATGTACACCCACAAGCAGCTCCTTTCCGAGCCTGCGAGCCTGAAGCATCGCTCCCGCGTGGCCTATAATTGCGCTAACCTGTTAGTCTTGAGCAATTGGACAACGGGGTAAACAAGCTGGGCAGAAGCACACATCAACCACTCACCGTGATGGCTAAAGTCGAAGCAACCATCGATCCAGATACGGTCTTTACTGATGGGAACATCTTCTTGAGGGTCTACTGGCCATTGTCCAGGGGCAGGCACAGATGATGTAGACATAGCTGTGAAATGGTAAACTGTAGAGAGAGGGTCGGGTCGGGACCGAGGGTTTGCAGCAATGATGAGGGGGTTGTGGCATGTGATTACTGAGGATTGTTGATATTCAAAGGATACAAACAGAGTAGACGGGATTGTTGTTTATTATCTATCTGTTCATTGCGTGACTGTGGCATGTATTGAGCCTTTTAATTGAGCATCTTGTAACCAGAGAGAGTGAGTGTGTTGAGCGCGGGGAGAAGAGCGAGGAGGAGGAATGTTGGGGTCGGGGAGCGAGCAGTATTTATTTATTTATTTATTTATTTAACTATTTATGGCAGCCGGACCGTGGCCCCGTTTAAATATTTAGTTAAATACAGAGTAGAGTAGACTTTGTCTGATGTTCTACTAAGATAGTATTTAACTAAATAATAAATAGTATATTTATTTATGGTCAACAGCAAGATCTTTTGTTTTTTAAATCATCAAAAGTTCTTGTTTGCTTTTTCCATTTAAATATCAATTTTGTCGCTGTATCATATTTAATAACTACCCCAACGATTACCACAGGAAGATATTATGGAGCAGTTGAACTCCTCTTGATTGGTACGGTACGTTAACAATAATATACAAGTACATTGTTGTTGTCCAACCTGTGAGTTCTTTTGCATGGAAAGATATCACGTATTTAATATAATATCAACGACTTCTTATAGGGTTCTAGCTTGATATTTAGTTGTCCTGAGCGGAGTCTTCAGTTCGACCTTTTTCTTTTTCTTTCTTCTTCTTCTTTGCAGGGCAATGTACAGTACATATATAACTATACTGCGTACAATGTCGCATCTGACATTTATTACTGGAAATCGGATGGGATCTTGTATTTATTTAAATAGTCTCGACTCTCGACTCATCCCCCCTTGTGCGAGTCAACAACCGGTAGCTCAAAACACAATCCGGGCATCACAACACTTTGGGCCGATTCAATGACGTTAATAGCAATCCATAATCTTAGACAAGTTAGATAGATAACTATATAAAAGAGGAGAGACGGAAGACAACGGCGCAAGCAGAGAGGAGAAACCTAGCAAAGTAAAATCAATAATGTACAGCAGCACGTACGCACAACGTACACAGTTCTGGTGAAAAATATCAACCTGTCACAACACAACAAGAAGAAAAGACTCTGGACGAAGAATTGGAAGAACTGCGAACGAGGGAAAAGGCACCAACCTACCGTGATACAGAAAATAAATAATCCACACCGGGCGAAATCCAACAATAACAAGACGTACGTTGCTGTGATGATCCAGGGGGTAGTTATTTATTGTTTAAATATTTATTAGCTAAATAAATATTTTCATGTCAGTTTATTTATTATTATTATTTCATAAACTTCGCGACCTTCCAGCTAACGTTATTTAACTTAGAGTTCTTCTGTTTCTCAACCTCCATAACTAACTTATTTACTTCCCTTCCATATAGCAAGATCAATCCAACAGCGTTGCCTATATGCTATGGACCAGTTCGCACCCTGCCCCGACAGCCCAGCCCAGCCCAGCCCAGCAGTATATTATAACCAGCAGTATAATAATATGTATGATATCTCCGCCATCCTGCTTCCTCTGCCTGTGCCTGCCTGGACGAAGTAAATAGTGTGATCTGACTGACTGACCTAGCCAGGCCTGACGGGGGTTTGCGTTGTTGTGATTTGCGCCAGCTAAATATTTAGGAGCAAACCCAGCCGCCACGCCGCCGCCATGAACCGCCACGACCATCACCATCATCCCCATCATCCCCATCACTACCACCACCGCGACGGGAGTCATGGCGGCACATCCAGCTTCGACCGGAACTTGGCTCCCCATCATCCTGGAAACCTCCCCGTCCTAAGGGTACCCGACAGAGTCCCATTGCCTCGTGTCGACACCCCCAGTCGCCCGGGATTCTTCTCGAGAAACGGTTCTTTGTCTAGATCCTCCAGCCAACGGCAAAAGACAAAACAGCCCGCCCCTCCTCCAACGCCTCTCGTCGTGCCCTGCTGCAGCAGCTGTCCGTCAACTTCCACCGCTGCGACGATATCCGCAACCAATGCGACAAGTCCTCCTCTGACGGCGACTACGATTCCCCCCTCCTCTTCCTTTCATTCTCCAGAACGACGACCGTTTCTCAAAGATTCCCCGACAAAGCGCAAGGTGTCTGGCACGGTCGGGAACAAAGGCAAAAGCATATCGCGGTTGATAATACCAAACTTTTCCGCCAATTCGAATCAGAACACCTCCTCAGGTGATTCCCAGTCGCTCCCCCAGACCCCATTGGATATACCGGGGATCTTCTGGGCGAAAACCCCCACGATAGGAGGTCAAACCATGGATTTCCAGATGTATGGTGGTCTTCCCGGCGCACCACCCCCAACTTCGGGCGGGGGTGCTTTCGGCCCGCAAAGTGCCAGTTCGATTTATATGAACATCCATCAAACCTCGTCAAAGCGGATATCAACGCTGGATTATTTACGGAAAGCGTAAGCTCCCCCTTGCTACGCTCCATGTTCCCTCGTCCCAAGTAGATGTATTATTAATGGCTGTCTCATATGGCGGGGGAAAAATATACATCTAGGCATGAAGGCAGTGTCTACTGGTTTAATACTGTACACTTCTCAAAATCAGACCTCTCCCGCATGTCCTATTTCGAGCAACGGAAACTCTCTCGCCGAGCAATTAACTACCTCCTCCTAGGCCTTTCCATCCCCCCCCTTCTCGACGTCAGCACAACCCCCTTCGAATACCTCCGCGCTCTTAATGCACTCCTCATGGAGTTCGAAACGTTCCAACAGGTCCACCCCGCCGATGGAAATGCCTCATCTTCACTCGGGCGCGCAAGGATACCACACATGTTCAAACGCTCCGCCCACTCAGGCGCCAAGACCCGCCGGGCGAGCTCAGCAACGGAAATCGGCCTGCCCATGCAGACAAGCGATCCATCAGACATCAAAGCCATGACGGGGAATATCGCGACTTCGTCAAATTCTTCCGCTACAACCTCGTACCCCAGCACAGACTCCTCCGACCTTCTACCCGGTGAGGAATACACATACCTCCTCACGCCAACCTTGCCCTTCGACCCTGACTTCTTCGAGACCTTTTCATCTCTATGCGACGTCCTGATTGATTGTTATACAAGGCTTATGGCACTGGTGTCTGGGCCTGGTGTCTGCTCTGCTGTCATTGCCGAGATGTTCACCAAGGCCGATTCGAGGCTGCGAAAGGTGATGATCGCGGGCGTGGTGAAGGAGTTCGAAGATGCCAGTCGCAGTAACGTCAAATCGGAGATTGCCGGGGTGAATAAGGTCCTTCTTGGCGGGCTGCTGGGTTGAGTTCAACCATGCTGAAATGATTTCACGGGTATTTTTGATGTCTGTAAAATCGCACACATACTTACCCCGCCCCCCAGCCTCCTTCTCCCTCCCTCACTCGATTGCGGCGCATTATCGGGCGGGTTTTTTTTTTTTTTTTTTTTTTTTTTTTTTTTTTTTTTTTTTTTTTTTTTTTTTTTTTCCTTGCATGGGTGCGTTTGCTTTTTTTATTAGAGACCATGTCACCTATGTAATGAATATATATCAAGGATTGGTCCTTCAAATAATAAATATCACTTTCTTCATTTCTTCACATTTAAAGAAAATATATAACGTACAGATTTTCTTTTTTCTTTTTCTTCTTTTCTTTGATTTTAGTGAGAGGTGAGTGGACTTTGAAACGGAAATTATCAGCAGCATAGAAACCTCGATCAACTATCCTACGCCACACAACAGCTTTCTTGGATGCAGTAGCAGTGGACCCAATATAGACGATTTCAAATGACTGATAATAGATGACACGGGACTCAACCCCCGATCAAGGTGCCAATATTTCTGGAAGTATTGCTCACTGACGTGAACAGTATTGTATGTGTATGTGCATATGGATGCGTATAGACAGGAAATGTAACGCTAATGGACAGGAGTCTAGTTCGAGTACATGAAACGGAGAGAGTATATATAAAAAAAAGTGAAAAGAAAAAGTCGTATACCAAAATACACCACGACGCCGATTTTTTGTGCGCCAATCCCAAATCAATAATACTTTTGATTTTTTTTTTTTTCCCCAGCCAACAGAATAAAGAAATGAGAGCACAAATCAAGGAAAAAACATATACATATAAAGTGACGAAAATCAATGTGCCGGTTCCTCTTCGCCGACGGGTCGCATGCTTCTCCGCAGATGTCGTCTCGGTATCAATGCAGTCGCTCAGTATGTTGAAGTTTGAAAGAATGGTTAACGCTAAAATAAAAAATAAAAAAGAAAAAAAGAAAAAAGTGGCGTATGGCTCCAAAAAGCGCAAAGCGGTAGCATCAGGAATAGAGGTAGGTAGGGGGGCTAAGAATCCCGGGGAGCTGGCGAAAAAGGAGACAAGGAGACATGGATCAAAAACGGATGTCATTGAGCCTGCTGCCTTGCCTCCAATTCCCGTTGTTCCCCAAACACCCTCCGACTCATTTCCAGCACTGCCTCGAAGCCCTCGCGACCTTTCTTAGCATTCTGGCTAAATCGTTCAATGCTGGCCTCTTCAACTTTGTTCTTTACTTTCTGCCAGCCGCTGCACACGGCGGTTATTTGTGCGTCTTGCTTGAAATCTGTCTTGGTGCTTGGAGCATCTCGCGAAGGCTGGTAGGTAACGGTTTCTCGGACTTTCAAAACATTCGACCATGTTAGGTTTGTTGAGCACATGGTCACTTTCTTAGAAACGGGATCGACATATGACACTTCGTAGACATGAGAGGTGGCGCTACCCCCGAAAAGCGTGAGGAGCCATTGGGGAGCGGATTGATTGCAGGTGATCAGGCGTTCCGTTCGTAGCTAATTGTAGGTGTAACTGTTAGCCAACAAGAACTGCTGAGAATGTTTGCCGAAAAGTGCATCCAATGTGTTAGATGTGGTAACTCACAATGCCGGTATCAGGGTGCAGTGTCCGGGAGAGAATATCAACGGCCACAACATGGGTCGACTTGTCGTTCCAAGGACAGTATTTCCGCCAGTTGGCGGTAGAGACCTCCTCCCATGAGTAATCGAACGTGCACGTTGACGCGAAGACTTTCATATCTAGATGTCTAGAGCAAGAACAACCAACGGCCTAGGCGAGACGAAAACAAACGACGGAGTCGGTCTGTCGTCTGTTCACCGAACGCAATGACAAAACAAAGGTTACTAGCAAGGGGGAGGATTGTTGATCGAGTGAGGTCGGGTTCCTACCCCGGGTCTATCTGGTAGTGGAAAACGGCGAAGACGCAACCTTCGGAGGAAAGGAGGAAATATTATTCGGTTACAGCAGTCGGAATACTATACATTAGTGGCTATTATGCGATCACAAGAGGATTGCAGCCTTCAGGATTGCGCGTGTGTGGGGGAGTAAGTGGTGTTAAAAGAACCACACCAATCTTGTGGGTATATTGGATATTTATTGGACTGTTCAACCCCGTCTTCTTGGTTGTTGGAGCGGAGGAGTTGAGTCTTGTCACAAGGGAAAAAATTTTGCCAGGCTTGAAAAAAGCGGGAAGAATCGATTTCGATCGCAAGGGGCGGGTTAGTCAGCCGGGTTTGCCGCGGTTTCAGCCGATCCTGACCGGATAATAACTTTATCCGATGTGTATTAGTAATCATGCTACGGCTGATATGATTGGCTGTGACAATCGACAAGCAAAGTAAAAAATATCTGCTAGAATATCTATCATTCTTTAACATCTCTCTGCTCGCGTACAACCTAATAGGCTGCCTATTACTGGAAAAACGACATTGCCAACGATCGCAAAATGATGACTGCAACTCCTTTCTGAAATTCCAGTTTTATCCCTTGAAAAGCAGCTACTTACCCCTCAAAACCCCAGCCAGACACCGCAGCCGGAGGAATATCATGGCTTGTTCCATAGCTGATTTTACTCAGTTACTCTCCTCGACCCCAGAGATTTTCTTAAAACCGGCAACTTCCTTACATACAGCATGGGCGACAGCGACAAAGCGCTATCTCGACCCACTTGCATCAGACATCACCAAGGCTCAGAAAAAACGCCTCCAAGACAAATGGAACCGAAAAAGAGTTGACAAACATCGACATTTTCGTTCCCAAGCGCTACATCTGCAGGAAGTTCATACCGATGGTTTTACGCCGCGACAAATCTGGGAGCAAGCGAATAGAGTGCTTAATGCCTCTGTACAAGATACCGCGCACGAACTTGCGTTATTGAGAGAACCGGAGGCGGAAATCGTCTCTTCCCAATCCAGCCCTCATAAAAAGTCCCGTGGAACCCAAGATGAGGAGCATGGATTTGAGGTTACTACCGAAACGGATCAAATCTCGGACAATTCCCCTAGCGACGATCCAGTCAGTATCCAGAATGGTGAAATCGCAGATGAAGACAGTAATGGAGAGGGGGACGAACGCGTAACGGAAGATAACAAGGATGGTGAGGATGGTGAGGATGATGATGATCATGATTCTATGTCCATCGATGGCGTCCAACCGTCTTCACGGCGCAAGAAAGACAAGAAATCAATAAGCGCGAGCGATATCAAATTTGTTCAGGACCCTCATAAGCTCAATGACGGATTCTTTTCAATAGACGAATTCAATGCTCAAACAGCTTTATTCGAACAGAAGGACGCAAAGGGGATGCAGGATGGCGACGACGATGACGATGACGAAGGAGCGATTGATTGGGGAGCCGATCCTCTTGGTCTTGGTGCGATTAATGGGGATAAAGAAGATGATGAATCTGCAGACCAGGACTACCCTAAAGAAGACGACGGTTCGGATTCCGAAGGTATGGACGAGGACGGCGATTTTGACGAAAGTGAGATGGGTTTGATGGGTGGTAATGCGAATGACATAAAATACGCTGATTTTTTTGATCCTCCTCCTTCCAAAGCTCCAAAAGGTCGACAAAATGGTGTTTTGTCTAAACACAAATCGCCCACTCCCGATGAAGACATCGAAGCTAGGATCCGTCGTGCTATTTCTGATGTACAACGCGATCTTTTTGACGATGATATGTCCGACGATGAGGAAATGGACGGCTCCGCGCGACAAACAGGGACAGCTCAGTCTACCCATGAGAAACGACAAGCCAAGCTCACGGATGAAATTCGACGATTGGAAGCCGCGAATGTTTCCAAAAAGGAATGGATGCTTTCTGGAGAAGCGAAGGCGCCAGACCGCCCCGTAAATTCGTTGATCGAAGAAGATCTTGAGTTTGAACGTGTTGGGAAGCCTGTACCTGTGATCTCAACTGAAGTATCGGATGACATTGAAGCGCTTATCAAACGGCGTATTTTGGCCAAGGAATTTGATGAAGTCCCACGTCGCCAACCGTATATTCCAGGCAGCGAAGCCCAGCGTAAACGTGATCAATTTACACTCGACGAGACAAAACCACAGCAGAGTCTAGCAGAGCTATACGAGGAGGATCATCTTCGCAAAACGGATTCTGCATTCGTGGACCAGAAGAGCGAGAAGTTGAAAGGTGATCACGAAGAGATTGCTCGACTGTGGAGTAACATCAGCTCTCAATTAGATACGCTTTCAAGCTGGCACCATAAGCCTAAGCCGCCGCAGGCAAGCATCAATGTTGTCACCGATGTCGCTACCATTGCGATGGAGGATGCGAGACCAACGGGTGGAGCGGGAATGGACTCGTCAGGCATGCTTGCGCCGCAGGAAATGTACGCTCCTGGCGATGAGGGCAAGGTGCGGGGTGAAGTGGTTCTCAAGAGCGGGGTGACAGTGTCCAAGGAGGAGATGACGCGAGAAGCGAAATTGCGAAGACGGAGACGCGAGAAGCAAAAATTGAAGAAGAATTCTTCTCAGCCTCTACGTACTGGAAAGCAAGCTGAGAAACAAAGGATTGTTTCCGACTTGAAGAAGGGTGGTGTTAAGGTGATTGGAAACCAAGGCGATCTTAAGGATGTATACGGCAATAAGGTGTCTTCTAATGAAAATAGAGGGCAACTTGTCTTGAAGCTATAATATTTGGACGGCATCTTGAAGTGTAGACAAAATACATAATATGATAATGTTCATCTCTAAGCTACCATAATATTGCATCCACTCCATTACTTGATGTATCATTGCATTATCTCCTCCTTGCGCTTCCCCGGTTCTTCAGATTTCACCTCCCTTTTCCTGATGATGTATAGAAAAATGCTTTCTTTCGAATAACGGTCACGATCCGGATCATCCTTTACTTCAACCACATTGAATAACTTTTTTGCCTGTTTCATGAATCTGAGATCTGCACGACGCCGCTTTTTGAAACAAAAGTAGCATAATGAATGCGAACTGCTAAGCAGATTCTGAAGAGTTGATAATAATAGCGGAAATGCAGGTTCGAAGTAGACACAATCCGCAGCAATAATTACAGCAGGGTCCGATGGGACCCCCTCTGGGAGCGCGCTGCCCCAGTCGAGTACGGCCGGGTGAACGATGTCAGACAGACCGTTTAACTGGACATTACTTTGCATTAGTGACAGCATCGGGATCTGGTCGGTGATGTAAATTGGCGAGTCAACTGCGCATCCTCGTGCTACCGCAAGTCCAACGAGCCCGCCTCCAGCACCAAGTTCGACACTAAATGTAAAAACAACATCACGTAAGTCATGGTTCTTAAGTAAAGCTATTGTCCCACAGGAAAAGCCGGAGTAAAAAGGCGGAAATGTACGGCGGGCAATACAGACATTACTTTCCCGCGGAGGTCAGACTTGTGCTTGCGAAGCATATATTTCGCCAGCACCATCCCGGCTGGCCATAGTTTCCCACCACACCCGTCTTTCAGGTCTTCCTTGATTTGTAGAGGGGGGGTTAGGAGTCCATCGAGGGAGAGAAGCACTGTTCCCGCCGTTTTGTTTTCACGGACCGGAACCAGGGACTCACTAATAGCGAGTGGGAAGTCTGGCTCCGATAGCACAAGGGTCGCTTCGGCAGAATGGTCGATTTCACCCATTGGGAAACGTTTCTTCGTGGCCGTCTAATAACGACAATGGTAGATAACCTGGTAGTCTGACAACAACGGCAACACCGACCAGGACAGCAATACTCGGGGATTTGTCGAGAGATTGGTTAGGTAAGAGTTAGATGGCGGTCATGTTCTTTTTACAGGCACAGTTCATAGCGCAAAAACTGAAATGGTATTATTCATTGTGTCGTCTGCAAGAGGATAGGTATTAGAAGAAACAGAATTGATATTGGGCAATATCAATGTATCGGGATCGAAATTATCACAAGATCAGAAATTAAGTGCTCCATTGTTGGTAACGAACGCTTTTGCATTTTGAGCGGGCAACAAGAACGTCTCGGGAGAAAGCGTGAAAGGCGGCTCTGCGGGCATGCCGGCCCTGATCGGCGCGGATATTGTTCCGTCCGGCGCTAAGCCCGTCTGGCGCCTAATCCCCATTCAAATGAGGTCACCACCGCCAGCAGATCAACCGCGTTTTTATCAAATTCATAGTTGCTTCTAGTTAATATTTTAATTTCTTTGTTAAGCAACGTTTCTTCAAAAATCCTACATCAGGCCCCAGCTGCATTTCAGCTCCTCCTGGTACATCTCTCCATGGCCCCAACCATGAAAAGGCACAAACAGAACAATGGCGGCGAGGCTCCTCAACATAAAAGGCCCAGAACAGACAACAGTAGTTCGGTCGCGTCACCTGAGGCTGGTACTACCATTGGGACCTCTTTTCCTACTTCTGAGAAGAAGATCGACTCCAACGGCGACTTCTACTGGAACATTTCGCGTTTCCGCCGTCTTACGGTTTCCTCCTTTAAGGGCCGTACCATGGTCAGCGTGAGAGAGTACTATGAAAAAGATGGACAAGAACTTCCAGGCAAAAAGGTCAGCTCAATACTACCCTTCTACGCCATATTTATCCTTAGTGAACTGTCATTATGAAAACCTAGTTGTCAATGCCTGCTAACATATGTCTACAGGGGATATCAATGCCATTAGAGCAGTTTAATGCCATGGTCCAGTTACTGCCCAATGTCGAAGCAGTGATCAAAGAGAAAGGTGGATCTTTAGATAGACCAAATTATATTGATGGTGAAGGCAAGGAGATCGCGAAGAACGACCCAGTCCAAGAGGACTCGGGCTCAGAGTCTGATGAATCTGAAGATAATTAGGTTGAATTTTTCTTGTATGTTTCGATTGCCCTTCATATTTTCCTCTGTAACGGTTGTAACTGTCCCTGTACTCTGCATACCCCGGCGGGTTCTTTGTTTTCCTTAGTTCGGTTTGCGCTTCGGGATGTTTGTGTAAGGGAACGTGTGAATTTATTTTAATATAATCACTTCCGAGGCGTAATTGGTTTTTGTTCTTCTAGCAGGTGCGGTATCTAGCGACTAATTATTTCGAGGTGATCATCACCCGAGCGGCAAATAGTCATTTCACGATCATGCGCTCGTCTCCTGTGTTTCTATGCGGCTAGCCAAAGACCCTCCTTTCCAAGCTTGTTTAAGGTCTCTCCCTTTCCGAGCTTTGCTTTCCTCCCCTACCTTGCCCCACCCACCGCCGCCAGGGGTCTTTACAACTATGCGATCGCCAGGAAACATTTTCGCTGTATTCTTCGCCCCTAGGTTTATCTCCCTTACCTCCCATTCGCCTGGTTGCCCTCGTTTTGGTGTCCTTCTCACCCAAATATTCAGTCCGCATTGGCCATCCTTGCCTCCATTCAAGCCATACGGATGGTATACCCTGCGCTCCGAGAGGATGGATACTTGTACTGGAATTCGAAATTCAATGTCCCGGATGACACCATCTCCACCCCGGTGCTGCCCATCCCCTCCGGACCCTGGCCTCAGACTGAACTCTCTTATCAGCACTGGATATCTTCGCTCGAAGACTTCAGAATCCGTAATACGAGTATTAGTCATATGTGTGTGGACCCCGGAGGTCCCCTCCCAGTCTGGGCCAGCACCACTTCCACCAGCAATGGTTTCGTAGTACCCAAACCCTTTGGTTTCTTCTTCTCCTGAAACATTTCCGCCATATCCAAAAGTTAGGTTGTTTGTGTCCCCTTGGGATGCAGCACAAGCTTGGAAACATTTTAAGATTACGTCGGTCACTCGCTGGCTCTGTGTCGCGTGTTAAATCAGAGAAAAGAATACAAGGAAAGCCCAAAACAGGCAAGGGACTCGAATAAAGTAGTAAATAAAAATGTTTAACCTACTGTCAAAACGTTACCGCCAACAACAGCAGCTTTATCGGACGGGGAAAGGAAACAATTTTTCGGGATTCGCACATTGATGGGTTTGAGACACCCTTGGTTCAATGGAATATCTTCGGATATTAGACACCGTAAGCAGTAAATGATCGCAGAGTAAGTAACAGCTTCCGGCGCATTGATGTTCCCTGTAATTTAAGTAAGTATTCAGGTCCATAGCTGGCATTAGCTTGGAACTGACCGTAGACTTCAGGGCCGGTGCCTTCAAAATCAAATACCGCTTCCCCCATCTCCGCATCAATGGTTATCTTCAGGTGGATTGGGCTTCCATCGTCCATGTAGTCGACAGCGACAAGATCCGCCCCTGCGAACCTTTGGCTAACTGTTTTCAGAAGGTTTCTTACGCTAAGTTCCGCATTATCTTGGATGTTATTCATGTAAAACTGAACCGTATCCTCGCCGTATTCGCTGATCAACATTGATATGAGGTTAATTCCTTTCTGATTTGCGGCTATTTGAGCTTTCAGGTCGTTTATATTATCTGCAAGACATCTTGTCCCGCTGCATCCAGGATACTGTGCAGGTTCGTGATACAAGAGGTGGGTGATTCGCTCCTCGTTGAATATGCCTTCGGAAACCAACTTCTCTGATTTGATCGCCGCGCCTTCTTGGGATAGCTCTTTTGAATGTGGGGGCATGGAACCCGGGAGAATACCACCAATGTCCGCTGTTTGTTTTAACCATCAGCTCCCCCAAAGAGCACAAATTCGGGTCTTGGATATGAAGTGAGATTTGACTAACCATGATGCGCCCTAGATGCGACATAAAATATTATCTTATTGCCATTGAAAGCTGGTGTAATAACCGTAATGTCTGGCAGATGAGTCCCGCCGAACTCAGGATGGTTGCTTACTATAACATCACCTGGTTTGAGTTTTCCGGCCCATATTTTCGACTGCGTTCTGACGCAGGTGGACATGCTACCCAGATGAACTGGTAGATGCGGTGCATTGGCCACAAGTCCGCCATCGGAATCAAACAATGCACATGAGTAATCCAATCTTTCCTTGACATTAGTGCTAACACTTGTTTTCTGAAGTGCGCGTCCCATTTGTTCCGCGATAGCCATGAAACGGTGTCCAAATATACTGAGAATAACAGGGTCGACCGTGTTAAGGTTAATCTTCGCATCTCGAAGTTCGGAGGTACTGATATTGATAACAACATGGGTTTCGATGACTAGAGCTGTTGCTCCTGGGGTTATCACTAGTGTTTGCGTCCCATCAGCAAGAATAGCCGGTCCATGAATGCGGTCATTCACGTTCAAATCTTCAAGCTTATATATCGGCGTTTGGCGGCGGCCACCCTCAAAATACACCTGAGAAACACTGAATTTCTTTTCATCTCCTACATCCTGAGGTTTGGCTTCTTCGAGTTGCTGATCGACGGTCTTTCCTAAATCGTCAAAGCTCTTGCCGATTGCCCGCACCCGAACATCATCGATAATAATATCACGGTCGGGAAATGTGAATCCAAATTCTCGTTCATGTTGCTGGACGAAGGCTTTCCCATAGGCCCAATCGCTACCGCTATCAGACCCTCCAGTAGCTACTCGTGATTTGGGATTGATTATCATCAGTGCAGACTCGGTTCCTCGGTATCTCATGTTGAGATATTCCTCAAACACAATAGACTTGTCCTCAAATCCCTGGTCGCGCAGCCTCCTCCGAGCTCCTTCTTTCAACGTATCCATTTTTTGTCTCAGCTCTGTGATGGTACTTCCATCATCAGACCATACCTTTGATTCTGGCACCTGGCTTTCGTCCACCACGTCTGCAAGGGCCATTCCATATGCAGATAGGACTGAGGAATAGCGGTGGACAAAAATCTGCTTAATTCCAAGGTTTTCAGCAATTGCCACCGCATGCTGGCCACCAGCACCACCAAAAGTTGCCAACCTATGTTTCGAGGTATCATGTCCCTTGGCCTCGGTTAATGAGCGGATTGGTCTTGTCATTGATTCATTCGCAATTTGAATAAACCCATACGCGACTTCGTCTGGGGTCATTTTCTGGTCTTCGGGCAATTCTTCATTTATAGTTTCTGTCAGTTCTTCGAAAAGCATCGCACTTGCATATGCATCCAAGCCTTCGTTTTCTTTCGGGCCGAATATTTTAGGAAAGAACTCAGGTAACAATCGCCCAAGAAACAGGTTGGCGTCCGTGATAGTTAGTGGGCCGTTTTTGCGATAGCAGGCAGGACCAGGATGTGCACCAGCGGACTCTGGCCCTACCACGAACAAACCATTTCGATAAAATAGGCGCGACCCTCCGCCGGCAGCAACAGTATTAATATCAAGCTGAGGGCTTTGTATCGTGACCCCAGCTGTTGTAGTCTCGAAAACATGTTCATAGCGACCAGAACCATACCGGCTAACATCCGTGCTGGTGCCCCCCATATCAAACCCAATTACGGGAATGTCCGTCTTCGAGTCGTACGAAGTAAGGGCATAGCCGACAACTCCGCCAGCGGGCCCTGACAGAATCGCACGCAAGCCAGAGAAGTTGTCAATATCGACTAGACCGCCATCTGATTGCATAAATTCACATCGCGCCCCTTTAGATCCATGTTCCTTTTTGAGGCTGCTTGTGCCAAGTCCACCCTCAAATCCAGACTGAAATCCTGAGATATACTTGCGAATGGTAGGTGTTAGGTACGCGTCAGCACAAGCGGAAGTTGCCCTTGGCACCAATTTGATCATAGGCATGAGCTCATGGCTCAAGCTGATATGATCGAAACCAGTTTGTCTTGCGAGCCTCCCAATCATGACTTCGTGATCCGGAAAGGTATATCCATGCATGAGACATACAGCAATGCTTCGGAACCCCTCGTTATAGAGAGTTTGGAGCTGTGTTTTTACGATGCTTTCGGAGGGTCGCCGTAGTATCCTAACCGCCTCCGAGGACAGGCCACGCACAATTTCCGCATCTGGGGGTGACAGGTCTCGCGGGAGCGTTGGTGTACTGTGCTGTATTGGATCCTCTGTATAGTCCTCGAGCGTGACCCGTTCATCCACTTCAATAACTTTCTCGTATAGGACGTCCGGCCTCTGAATGGCCAGGTCAAAAATTTTGGGGCGGGATTGATTTCCAATTTCCAGGCAATCCTTGAATCCCCTAGTCACTACCAAGGCCATTCGCTCTCCTTTCCTTTCTAGTAAAGCATTCGTGGCAACTGTGGTTCCCATACGAATGCTCTCTATCTTAGCAGTATTCAATGGCTCCCCTCGAGGGATTTCACGACCTTCGAACTTGGAGAGTAGCCGACGTATGCCTTCCAAAGGCGCATCATCGTAATGGTTTGGGTCTTCGGACAGTAGCTTGATCACAATGTCATCTTCTAGCTTCCCGGAACCAGGATTGCCAACGCAGTCCGTGAAAGTACCACCACGCTGAATCAGTAAAGTTAGCGAGATTGTCGGTCAATTGGCAGAAGAATAGTGCACATACGTCAATGGCGATCCTGATGCCGCGCCGCTGTACTGGAATAGCCATTGCGGAGGTGGGCGATGAATACTACCTTCGGCTTGGATGGAGAAAATGAGAGTTTATTTATTTAGAACGTAGAAGTGAATATCTTTTCTTTACCAGGACAAAGAGGTACGACGACTTGATTCTTTTATATCATTTCAAGCAAACCCATAGCGTCGGGAACAAATGCCGGCGCTTGGTAATGCGGATGAACCGCCCAGAGTGAGTGGGGGCGGGGTTTGATACCAGGGCTGAGTGAGGTTTATCAAGCTCGCAAAAAAGCACAATTTGTATCAATTACTATTATTTGATCATCGAACCCCTAAACCCCCAACTGTAGAGGCAGAGGTATTTTGGCGGATCCCATTTTGAGCTATGTACGGAGTATTATTGAAACTACGATGTTGTCCAGATAATCCGGGGATCTTGTTGGAAGCCGCGCCCGGCTTGGCAATCGGAGCTTTGGTCCCGAGTCCCGAGTTGTCAGTTGTCGCTGACATCATCAGCGGCTGACGTCACGTGTCGATGTTTTTATTCCAACCACCACAACAAACATACCACAGAACAACGCAACGCTTCCTCATTATTATTATTGCATCTTCCAGCTACCCACAACTGTTGTTCAGTGAATCGCGTAAAAACACGCGAATTCAATTCCTTGCTGTAATATTCCCGCAATTGCAGGCTTTATCGAGGGCGAGGGAAGCTCTCCCTTGAACTTCATTAGACTTTCCAAATCCCTTCACGCGTCTTGCCTCGATAATATCCACAGCATGCCTCGACCGCCTGTCAGACGTGGGCGTCGCCCAAAGACTGTTAGCCCCTCAGAAGTAGTTGCGGTATGCAACGACAGACAATCCGACGCACATAATTTTGCGGTAGTAATTAAACCAAACTTGGATCACGCCCAAGACCCTAAAGAGCACGGTGGTAATACTAGGGATGATGGGGAGAATTCACCTGAGACAGCATACCTCCAGAGAAGTGAATCGGTGGCCAATGAAGAGCGACATCTGGAGGCAGTAATCCCTCAAGCGCAGACCCCTATCTCGGAACATCAAAATGGCGCCAGCGACTTACCAACGCGAATCGACGTTATGTCTTCCGCCATAGGAAAAGCGCTCCATCCCAGTCTTCCCAATCGAGGGGACACCAGTTCCAGAGCACAAAAAATCGGAACTCCGGCCTTTGAGAGCTCGATGCTTAGCAATTTTAGACGGCGGCCCAGGCAACCCAGTATCCTTCAGATGATGCAAGGAGATCCATCGTCCGAACTCGATGACGATGATGATATGCTTGGTAGTTTCGACCCGGATGATGAATCAACTCCCCTAAAATTTTCCAACCGCCAAAGTATACCTTATGACTCTGTATCGATCCCATCTTCCGCGCTGCGGGATTTATCCCCTGCGCGCTTATCGAAACGGAAACTACACAGCAAGACTCAAGTGCAAGTTTCTCCGTCCCCCGATCCATCCAAATTCGCAATTGCAGTCGATGAAACCACCGATAATAGTACCTCTGAAGATGACTCCCTGCCTACCCCAAGGGGAGCCCAGTCGCCGGAGCCGCTCGAATTGTCGAGTCAGACAATGATGCCACCCGAGAGCAGCCCAGCCTCTAGTGTGGAGAAACGACGATTAGATACTGCGCACGATGAATTTCCAGAAAATGAAACATCTCTTCCTAATAGAGAAAGACAACCTGCCACGATCTATAAACCCCGGGTTTCTACTGCGACTCTGAGAGAAAATTTGCTGCCTCAGCGGCGACGTCTGCAAAGACGCCGTGTATTAAACCATGCCAATACGCTCGCTTCAGACGATATTGAAAATGAACCCTTTTTCAGTGACCATTCCGACACATTTGAGGCTGATCAAGATGAGCTGAGTTACACAGCGTCGAAGGTTTTTAAAAGGAGGAAGGATATAGCAGGAGTGCCGGAAGCCAGCAGGGGCGGAGGGAACAGGGAGCTACCCGGCACCGTCGGGAACAACCGTGGCCGACGACGGACACCAGCGATGAAGTCGTCTACTATTGGGTCCTCCAGAAATGCGCATTTAACTCGCTCCAAAAGGGGTAACAATACCACTTATTTCTCGCACGACAGCCACGAGGAACTTGCCGATAAGGAGAACCAATCGATCCACGCATCCTCCTCACCACCGGACTCTGAAGAGCCATTTTCCACTGCTGATATTTCACCACCAGCCTCAGAACGCGTATTTCTAAGCGATGAGCTCATGCAACAAGCACAAAAGTTCGCCGAAATTAGCCAGTGGCCCCTAGACTTTGAGGATGTCGCGGTGACATCATGTCAAAGCAGCCCAGCACGGTAAAGATTATGGTCTTGTTTCGTTTGAGATTCATGTATATAATAATATTGCAGGTCCATTACAGCAACTTTTTTACCCATGTACTTTGTACCTAACGAGAGAAAATATTCAATTTGCGGGAACTGTTACATTTCGGTTCACCTCGAGAACATAGCATCGACAAAGAATATTCATGAGCTGCCTGTTTTTTTTTTTTTCCCCTCCCCTTCTCCAGGGAACAGAGACGAGTATTAGGATGTAGCCGGGCTGGGACGGAACGGAACGGCTATCCATGGGCACGTAGCTTACTCAGCAGCCGTACTCCCCTCCTGTCGCTGTAACACCCCGCTCCGAATAAATCAGTGTCCACAGTATTAAACTGTTGCTGCTCCTCTCTGAAAAAGAATTGATCATTGCCTTGCAGCTCAGTTGTTTATTTTGCAAGATCAGTGGAAATGGATGCATCTGTCGATAAGATCCTTGCGGGCAAATACCCGGCCAAGCACCATGCAAAACGCGTCGCAGCTCGCATCAGAGAGCTTGGGCATGGCGAAGCTGGCGTCATTTATCTCGAAAGCCAGAAGACGCGGATGATTGAGGACAATGATGGTGAAATGCCATTCCGGTAAGTCAATTTAAACTGTTTGGATTTTCCCTTGTCCATCTTTGATGAATGTCGCTTACTAACCTCCCACCCACAGCCAGCGACGTAACTTCTTCTACTTATCAGGCTGTCCTCTCCCTGACTCGTATCTCACATATAACATCGAAGAAGACCATCTAACCCTCTTCATTCCTCCCATTGATGAGGATTCGGTCATCTGGTCAGGGTTGCCTCTTTCGCCCGATGAAGCGTTGGAGCTATACGACGTAGACGCCGTCCTCTCAACGGCTGATGTAAATGCTAGTTTGGCACATTACTGTTCGGCAAAGGAGGGCACAAAGGTTTTCGCAATATCTGACCAAGTTTCTCCGCACATAACCTTTTTACCCTTCCAAGAAACAGATTTTGATGTTTTGAAACGAGCTGCGGAGGAGGCTCGTGTTGTTAAAGACGATTATGAAATTGCTCTTCTCCGACGCGCGAATGAAATATCTTCCAAAGCACATGTGGCCGTTATCAAGGCTGCTAAATCTGCCATGAACGAACGAGAACTGGAGGCCACTTTCATTGCCACTTGCATGTCTTATGGTTGCCGAGAGCAGTCATATCATCCGATCTTTGCTGGCGGAACAAATGGCGCTACCTTGCACTACCAGAAGAACGACCAAGATTTAGTTGACAAAACTACTGGAGAGAAGAAGCTGAACATGTTAGTCGACGCTGGAGGAGAGTACCGGAACTACTGCGCCGATATCACACGGGTTTTTCCCCTTTCAGGGAAATTTTCTGCAGAGTCCCGACAGATATACGATATCGTCCTGGAGATGCAAATGACGTCTTTGGCGATGATCAAAGCGGGTGTAATGTGGGAAGATGTACACTCGAATTCCCACCGTGTCGCCATACGCGGACTACTCAAGCTCGGTATCCTGCGTGGTACAGAGCAAGAGTTGTTCGACAAAGGGATCAGCGTTGCCTTTTTCCCTCACGGTTTAGGACATTACCTTGGCATGGACACTCATGATACTGGAGGCAATCCAAACTATGAGGATAAGGACTCGAAGTTCAAATACCTACGTTTGAGGGGCGTTTTAGCATGTGGCGGCGTTGTGACTGTTGAACCAGGGGTAAGTTATACCATATCTACGGCCTCCGATTGGAGCAATAAGCACCCTTTGTGTTGTTGGTGAGTGGTTCAATGAAAGCTAATATATGTTCGATAGCTCTACTTTTGCCGTTTCATCATCGACCCTTATCTCGCGTCTCCGGAGTTGGGAAAGTATATAGATGCCAACGTGCTTGAAAAGTACTGGAGTGTAGGCGGCGTGCGCCTTGAAGACAACGTTGTCGTCACACAAAACGGCTATGACAACCTAACAACTGCCCCGAAAATTCCAGAGGAGATAGAGAAGCTCGCTGCAGGGCCATGATGGCCTGCCAAATTTGTCTTGTCTGATTAGGGTATTCATGTATATCTACACAGCAATCCCAAAATTCTAACCGTCGAAAATTCGTGAATCAAAACCAAACTATCTAAGTGCATGCAGCATTCAATCTATTGTATCATAGCCTTTAATGCCTGAAGCAGTAGAGCAAAAATGAATCCTCTAGCAACAGATTTTACCTGAAGAGAATCAAAAACACGCCCAAGTGCCTCTGTGGTTGCAGCGTTACCCATGATGCTCGTCAGAGCCTGTGGCATGCCTCTCGTCACTAGCAATTTTCGGGCCTTTATTCGGAGCTCCTCCTGTTTATCATCAGTTAGTGGCGGAGGCCACGATTTAAGCTCATCTTCGGTTGGGAGTGCATTTTCGCGTATGGCAGTGATGTGCGCCGCCAGAGCATCATCCGCGGCATTAGATTCAATAATTGATTCCTGGACGAGCCGGCGAATGCCCTCAATGTTTGGATTCCCGGGCCGAAGCAAGAATGACCTCGCCGCATTCAACAATTTCTTTCTAATTCCCCAAGCGGAAGACAACGAATATAATTCGTTGATGACAGCAAACAACAGCTCCACTGCGACACCGGTCTCTTCTTCTGAGAGAGGCAAAACCCTCACTTCGTTTGAGCTAGGCTTAATTTGAGATTTCGAAGATTCCATATCTACTTCAGAGTGGCCGGCCGTATTGCCCTCAACGTCGCTTGCTTGTCCAGCTAAGGGGGACGATACGGTCTTGGTTTCTTGAAGGTGATTTTCACCCACGATGGGTCCATTTTGTTGATTCTCGTCGGCCTGTTCCGTAGCAAGAGAAGGGGATAATTGATCCACGACAGGTCTTTTGAAAGTTGGCTCTGCCTCCTGATTGTGCGTCATACAAGTCACAGGTTTCTCGAACCCATTTTCATTCGAGTCAGAGTCAAGAGGGGTGGAATGTTCCGTATCCGAAGGTAAGGGGAAATGCACTCCTGGCGCCTTACGAGCGTCCTGACTGATTGTAATTTTATTAACGAACTCGTCAGAGGACATTCTTAACTTCGAGTCCACCTTGTCTCTGAAGCCCAAGTCAACTGAGCGTTTCTTAACGCCGCTTCCTGTTCCAAACACCCCAGTGACGCCTTCGAGGACAGCCTTTCCACCCCCTGCTACGCCTTTAGGAGCATTACTCAGGGCTTCTAGTACCCCTTTGCCCATATTTTCAAACACTGCCTGGCTCGGAAACGAAAATCCAGTCTTCCCAGCCCCATTCGGAGATGATGTCGCAATCCCTCGATCTTTTTCTAAAAACCGTTTCATAGCTTCGCACCCAGCGAGCCGCTCAAAGCGTAGGGCATGCTGAAGGTAGCGTTCAAGGCTCTGCCGCAGATCCGGCTGGTGCTGACCTTTCCAGGTGGGCAGTTCTTTGTGTTGTTCTACGAAATCGGATACCCCAGAGACAACCGAAATGCGTCGTAAAACCTCATGGAGAACTTCGAAGTCAGAGTACTTCCTCGTAATTACCCAGCCTGGATGACGCGAGCTAGCGGGTTCAATTTGTAGCAAATAGTCATCTGTGGGTTTCATACGCATTGTCCCGTTGTTGCTGGGGAAACTGTCATCGAAAATCGATACGGAAGCACCAAGAAGGATCGTCTGAATAGAATCTATTAGATCAGAATTAGCATCCGAGGCTCAAAAGACAGGTCAAAATCGTTCGGTAGTTGTATTGATTCCTACCTTCCTGTCTCGAACGTAGTTCCCCAGTGGGGTTTCGTAAATCCCCAAGTTCATTCGGGCTGCTTGATGGGCTAGGTCTTGCGGGGACATGACTATTCCAATTGCCATCATTTGGGGAGGCAGTTGCGTCTGGGTGAGGGGTTTTAGAGGAGCAGCTTCCCAGGCCGATATCGATGTCGCTATCAGTCCCAATCGCAGACGGTTGTTCCTCACTCCTTGGGGTACTACCGAGTTCAATCATCGCACTAAGGCGCTTCGCTTCCCTAACCGCCTCTTCCATCTCAATCTGTGCCTTGGTCAATCGTTCGTTTTGCAGACTTGTTCGCGAATTGTCAGGGACAATCCGCTCGTTTATAGGATGTTCAGCTATATTGCTACTATCCGCCAGAGAGTTGGCAGAGAATGCCTCCATCTGATCCTGTCGGGCTCTGTCAACCCCAATATCAATTGCATTCATCAATTCTGGCTCTCCTTCCTCCAGGATATGCACAATCCAGCCATTGATCCATTCTGGTTTTGAACAATTGTCGATTATGCTTTCTAGGATGACACCTGATAATATTTCGCAAAGAAAGATTCGAACCGGTTCACACTCGTACAAACCGGGCTGTAGAAACGTTTGTAGGACGTCGGACGCGACGAGCCTGAGCTTCGCATGCTGTTGGCTTGTTGATAAAACATTCGCTAGATTACTTTCAGGGTATTCATTCAGGTAGGATGAAATTGCATCTGCTGTAGAGATTGGGGTGTGGGAAGTGGATTCCAAGGCAGATGAGAGTTCGTTTAAGAATACGATAATGATAGACGATGCATTGGTGACAAAATGAAGGAAAATATCTGCCGGTCTTTTCCGCGAGAGGTGAGAGGATATGGAAATAATAAAACGTGAAAGGCTCAAACGGCAGGACTGTGGAAACGTCTGTTCTGATGATAGTAGAGGCCCATACCACCATCTACAGTTTCTTAGTTAGTCCGCGAAGGTCGCGAATGAAATAAATAAATAAAAAGGAAAAAGGAAAAAGAAAAAAACATTGTACTCACTGGACGTAATCTCGAATGACGGCATCAGTCAACGCATGCAAAGCTGCTGCCGTTGCGGGCTGGAATCCGGAATAATCCAACGTGGGAATTGATATATCAATATCACTCGCTCCTGTGCTTGGTTTATCACCAGTCCTCGATTCTTCCCAACTCAGCAGTCTATTCGCCACTTCGATGGCCAACTCCCGCTTCCTTTTCGAGGGCCTTGAATTCACCGATCCATCCCCACAGTCTTTGTGGTCCTCCCATAATGCATGCAGCCCGGCACCGGCGACAGCCCCAAATAGCACCAGGCTAAGTTTTCCGAACACGAAATATATAGTCGCAAAGACGACTCCACCCAAAGTAGCCAAAGTGGCATTGTTAGCGGACGAGAGAAATTGCAAGCATTGATCAATGAGAGGGCTATGTCCGACCGTAGTAGAAGGAGAGGTACTCGTGGCATCAATTGTACGCTCTGCAGAATCTCTGACACGACTTGTCATCTCTTTTGGTTGAGACTCATCCATTATCCCAAAGGATTCGCCAACGGCGCGACACTACTCACTGCATTGCTGTGATGGCGATGAGATAGTTGTCAAATAATCAATCCCAACCAGAGCCGTTTATTAAAAGCCGCGGGGGTTGGAACAATCCAATCCCCAGTGAGCAGCCGGTAGCATTGGTACAAGTACAGAGCTGTACAGAGTATGGTATGGTAACGTTTTCGTGCCATACAGTATTTAAATAAGCGCTCTTTCCTGGTATCATTGTATGACCAACGCGTATCGTATGTATCATATGTATATATGTTTTCCCCGCCGCGCTCTTGCTCGCTATATCAACTCGCTCGGGTTTAAAAGTTCACAATCCAGCGCAACCTTCCAACGCAAAAGTCTTGTTGCCTGAGATATTCTTTGTTGGTCAACCAGATGGTCAAGCCTCCATATCACATATCTCATCATTCATGGTGTCCCCGTTATTTAGTTCATTTCGACTAGCGACTCGCAGCCAGACCAAGCTCCCACGATGCCACTCTCCTTCGGTTTATGGTCATCATGTATCATGGGCCGATCCAGCGGTCAAATCTAGATTCCCTATTGGGTTTTCAGTGTCTCTTCACACGGCACTATTTTTTCCTGGTTTGCACTCCGCCCATCCTCCGTTAATCAATGCTAAATCTCGATAGGCCATGGCGTTCAACGAGTGGGAATGACTACCCCGTGGTTGGACGCTTTCCCATCCACCGTGAAGCCGTTTCTAGAAGAAATGGATAGCACTCTTAACGTTCGGCTCTCGACGATTATCTCGGACGGGCCAAACTCGAACCTAAACAAGACTGAGAATTCTCAACCTGCAATCATGGCGACGTCGATATTGATCCTTCGCGTTCTCCAGGAACATTTTGGCTTCGATACAAGCACACAGATCGATGTTGCGTTGGGCCATAGCCTTGGAGAGTACGCTGCTTTGGTGGCTGGGGGTTATATAGGATTTGGGCCAGCTCTCAAGATGGTTCGACGCAGGGCAGAGATGATGGCTCAATGCACCGCTGACGCAGGAAAACTGACCGGGGAAACTTATGGGATGGTGGCGCTCGTCTGTGAGCCTGATCGGTTGGCAGACTTGATTACAACAATCCAGGAATTCTTAGACCATGGCTCTCGGTGGTCAAACGACGAGGGCAACTACGAGCTATCGCCAATGCAACAAGTTTCAATTGCAAATGTCAACTCTAAAAACCAAATTGTACTCAGCGGTAGCATCGAGCGGATTAAGCATCTGTTGATACAGCTTCGGCAGTTTTCGGGTCATGATCCGAGAGCTGTCCGCTTAAGGAGTGAGAGCCCGTTTCACAGCCCAGTTATGAAACCAGCAGCAGACTACATGCGAAAGGCTCTTGAGCATGTGGAAATAAAGTTTTCGGCATCGATCCCCTGCATTTCAAACGTATCCGCAGTTCCCTTCCGTTCAAAAGAAGATCTCAAAGACCTCCTTTCAAGGCAGTGTGTGGAGACTGTAAGGTGGTGGGATAGCATACGATATCTTGATCAGGAACGCGGGGTGAAACGGTGGATTGGTATCGGTCCCGGCAAAGTTGGAAGAAATCTTGTGGGAAAGGAAGTCGGAAAGGTCTCTGCCCGAGGTGGAGGAGTGTGGGCGATCTGTGACCCCAGAGAGATTGAGCAGGTACTTACTGACTTAAGTAAAAGTAATGAGAATACAGTACATTGAATATCAATAATATATAGAGAAGTGCTATTATAATATAATAATAATAATTAAAAAAAATAATTAATTAAAAAAAAAAAAATAACCAGAATTACCAGAATCGGCTTTTTCACACAAAATTACTCAATTTTTTGAATAAAAAACCTGTCAATAGATTCATTGAAAAGCTCTTGATTCAATGAGTATTTATTTATATGTAAACAGAGAGCATATACTTTTCTATTTTTAAAGAATCAAATTAGCTATACACAACTCACATGCATATCTCAAGAATAGTTAGTGAATCTATATTCAAATCTATATAGTGAGTCAACAGGTCTCATATTTTACACTAATATTAACAAAACATTCAAAATCAATGAAGAGATTTTGAGCTCCTCTGTGACATCTTTCTTGAACAACACTTGTAGAAGATCTTCAGAGAGAAAACAAAAAGAGATTTCTGAAATTCAAAAGGCTCACTGCAGAAGAGCTTGTATTTGAGTCCTGGTTGATGGAGTGGCTTAACTTCAGGAAAACCACCTAGGGCAAGAAAACTCTCTTTCTCTTTTCAGGCTGAATCAATTAGAAGCTAGTTTTGAAAGATCTATATCCACATTAAATTTTATATAGTACTGTACTCCGTCCTCCGTACTCCGTACTTACTCTGTAACCGTGCCATGCTTACTCACTCTCTGTAGTGAGTGCGCCACAGTGTACGGAAAACCACACTGTAAAGAAAATATTTTGAATATAGTAATCTTCAAAAATTAATTAATAATCACCACCACATCTATCTATAACATAAAGATTATCTATATACTCATTAGAAGGTGTAGAATCCACTGTAAGTTGAGATTCTATAGAATTATCTTGTTGTGGTTGAGTGGCTGTAGATTTTGTAGGTTTGATTCCAATCAATTGAAGAGTCTTATTGAACATCTTTTTCATCTCATCTGCTCTACGGGTCATGATCTTACAATTGGCATTCTTAATAGTGAGAACTCCATCTACTTGCACCTGCCTGCGGGAGGATTTGATGACCTGATGTCTATTTGCTTGATAATGATCTGCAAGTTCATTCTCATGATGTGCATTCAATTCCACCTGGACCATGCTACCCTTGAAGATCTTGTTCAACTGCCTTGTCAAATCAGGTGTAAGAGTATTCTTCACATCTTCTAAGGCCTTGACTGCTGCATTGATTTGGTGATGTAGTTTTGCAACCATCTCTGGGAAGGTTAATTACAAGGAGGCAGTTGATGATTGATCTGCAGATGGCAGGGTAAAGTGATTGCATACATCACCATCATCATCATCATATATGTTGAGATCCGGGGCATCATTTTAGATTCGGTTTTTGCTTGACTTGTTTGTAATCTGGCAGGCATTTGATGAATCAATATATCCACATCTTGCTTACTGTGGGAGGTGCAGTCTCTGGATCTGTATGATGCTATCTCAACATGCGGTTCGCGGCAGCTTCAATATGCTTGATGATGAATGAGCAAAAATTAATGTCCAACTGATGAATTCATATCTTAATTATCTCTTCCTGGCTATCATTCAATGCTTGATTCAGTGGAACCCTCATAGTCCTTGATTTCTTCTCATTGATCCTCCCATACAAGGTGGCATATGAGACTTTGAATTCTCGCGACAGAGATGTGATTTTTAATTTTGAATTGCTTTTGTACGCGTTAACAGCTCTTTGCAACTGCTCCTCAGTGTAATTAGAAGATTTAGGCATGGTTATAATTAATGATGATTATTTGAAGATGAAGAATGAAGATATTGAAAATATTTTCTTTACAGTGTGGTTTTCCGTACGCTGTGGCGCACTCACTACAGAGAGTGAGTAAGCATGGCACGGTTATAGAGTAGCGTGAAATATTAATATTATATCCATGCCTTCCTGTTAGCTGACATAAGCATCGCCAAGATCGGCTCCGACCTTCCCATCTTGCCCAACTCCGCGCAAACGTGTGAGAGATATCTAGAGAAACTCCCAATCTAGTTAATCTCGACGTTGCCGGGTTTGAATTGTATTGACTATCGACAGCTACATTGGGATGCGGTCGACCCAGGTATTGAGAGCGGCAAAGTCTGCCAATGCTATCCCCGTTAACCAGGTACCAAAATACATCCTGCCCTCGTCTCCCTTCCGTCAAATCATGCTGATTTCTAAGATTCTCTGAATTCAACAGAAATACACTCTTCAATCTACCGGCGTTTGGGAACGCATTCGTCGGTTTTTAGCCGTCGACCCTAACAGATCAAATGGTGTTCCATTGAACCCTCAATTCCGAAACCCCACCCCAGGCGCACTCGCACCACAATCCTACGATGACCCTGTCACGCTGCCCGCTGGCGATATTGCTGACAACCCATACTGGAAACGAGATGGACGACGAAATTACGCCCGCCCAAGCGTACTGAGGCAGGCGGATGTTGTAGGACTTCTTACTGTTGGAAGTGAGGCGTCTCCTAAAGCAGACGTTCTTCAGATCGGAGACGCGGGCGCCCAGCAGCTTGTGGAAGTTAGGCAAAAAGGAGAGGCACACGGGTTAGCTGCATTCTTCGAGAAGGAAAAGAATGTTCAGGGTGTGCTAGACTCACAGGGACTCCCGCCTATGGCTCCGAACTTAAACCCGGCATCGAGGTATGAGCTAGGCACTGAACATGGCTATCCGTCGAGGTAAGGTGCCCTATGAATGACAATTGCTGTGATGTATAGCTAACATTGCATCAAAGTTATCCATGCCGTACTTTCGTGTAATTTTTCCGTACCAGAGCCAGTTTAGTTTTCATCTCATAGAGGCAAATGTACAGATTTCTTTTCGTTAAGCTTATTCTTGTGATTTGAATGAACATTTCGTATCAACTGCAAGATACATCTCCCTTGGGAGATATGTAGGTGTAGATTCCAATACTTATCCGAACGTGGTGCCGGAGCCGTTTTGATATAGACCTCGATTTGCCAGGAAACTAGGTTCAAAGTTCCCATGCTTTCCATTGGGGCTAGAGGCATTCGAAACTAGTAGACCAAACATATATTGATTTATGTGTCTAAATATCACGTATCAGATTACAGTCAAGAAAAGAAGAGAATCAACTGTCAGGGTTGGAGGAGCCATTAGAAGAACAAACTCTCTCCTCGAAAAGTCATCATAGAACTCTTAAAGCCTCTTCTCGGCACTTTAGTGACTGTTTCTCCTGTTATTTGTAAGTAATTCCATAGATTATTAACCACTGTCCGCAACGCCATATACGGTATGGAAATTCTATAATAGGGATTGTTGGTCTTCCTTACATATAGTCATGTAGCAAAATAGCTCCACCACTCTCTGGATTGCATTTGGTACCTAAAAAAAGTTCCCAATTTCCCCCGCTCACCATTGCCACCCTTCCCCTCCTTTTCTCAGACAGTGGTTCTATGCACTTTCAAAGATTTTCTAGGGGACCGAGGTGTATGCATAGATAGGAATGGAAACACCAATATACTCAGAAAAAATATTCAGTCAAACTCCTACCAGAAAAAGCATTCCAATTATTTAAACTTTTTTTATTATGACTTTCATTAATAGTAAAGGACCAGCGCATAAAGAAACGTAGCTTCGAGCATCACTCCAAGAAGTTATCTCCAAGTAGATGCAGACATCATATGATATGTTTTTACCTTCCAGTTCTTATGGCTGTACAGAGAATAATCAAACGCACATCCATTTATACATAGCGAATCACATATACAAATTCGACATCCCTTCCCATTCTTCTTCCTCATATCCTCCCTACCTTCCTGACAAATCCTGGTACAGTCGAATACGTCCGCCATGTGCCAGTTATCCCTAATCGAAGGGATTAGTTCTCGTTCCCCACCAGGTGAGGAACAAGCTCAACCCAACAGTCTCCAGGACTCTTGTCAGGACGCCAACTGCAACAGTATCCATTGGCCTTCGCTCCGTAACAACCTGTGAGATAAACTGCAAATCAATCAGAGTTAGCCATGATTCAATTAATCTTCCCCCAACCAGAGCCCTTATTTAGGCTTGGACTGAATCGATCATCCAAACAAATCAGAAAATAGAATACTACTTACACTAGGCGCTGCACTGGCAAAGAAAATCAAGCTTCCCAGGTAAGCAGCTCCCTTATAACTCAATGTGCCTGTGGCATTGATCAACGCGCCAACTCCATAGCTCTGCACGGCGCTGCCAATCAAAGAACTGCTCCATGCTGCTGCGGCAGAAGCAGCTTCCTTGGACTTGAAGAATTCCTCTTTTGAGTTGGCGGCCTGTGCGCGATGGTAGGTATCACCGAACACTGGGGTTAGGACACCCAAGGATGCAACATGATTGAAGATAGTGCCCAGGGCAATGGCAGATGGTTTGACGGTGGGGAGATCTGGAGGTTAGATGTGCATGTTAGTGGAGGTGATTGAGACAACGAGGTTGGGCAGGTAAGCTGACGTACATTGAAGAGTGGCCATGTTTTCGAATGTACGTGCGGTTCAAGTGGGAGATATTGCTCTTGTACAGAGTTGTTTATTATTTAAATGGTCAAGAGTATCAATTCCAGCATTTAGCTATCCTCGAAGTATTTAAATAGTAAACTGAAAGCTGAAGGCAAAAAAAGAAATGGTGCTAGAAGAGGGAGTTGTTGACTTTATGAGGGGAGACGGCGAAGGAGGTTGAATGGAAATGATGACGTCGTTATGACACCCGCAAAACGTTTGGGGGGGGGAAGCAAAATTCCAGTCAACAATGGGCACGGAGTATGGGAGATGGCGAATAGGTGGAGCTTTACTGAAATCGCTGTCTCATTCCATAAAACTAGGCATATTTGAAATACGAATAGGCTTTATGCTACGATATTTATCATCTATATCCAATCCGCCTATGGCATAACTTAATGCGACATGTAGATGGATATCTAGTTAAATCTGGTATTCCGCAGCTACTCAGAAGAGGGTCGAAAGTGGATACATAGTAGATTTCAGGTTTTGAACACCTATGTCCATATCAGGCATTCACGCTTTCTTAACATGATTACTGGGTAGGTTGTTTGCCAGGGGCAATCATATCACATCCAATGATCTCATCGGACGGCCCCTGGATTCGACATCATCGCTCGCAAAGAGGGGTGGTTTTACCATCTCGGCGCTCCTTGCGCGTTCTTGACAGCATTTGCGACATGATAAAGTGGCTTACATCCTCATCAGCCCAGTAGGAAAGATGGCTGGCAATGCTGGCAATAAGCGATATATCAAACGCTCCTCTATATCATCGTGCTTAGGTTAGCCTGTGTTAAAAATATTAAAAAGACAAAACCATGAATATATCACATGAATACATAAGGCAGTGGTTTAAAACGTACTCTTGTATACTGTAGTCCACCCGGCCATTAGAATTCAAAGCGCGCACTTTCGCCTCCTCATACCTTATCTTGCGCGCGCGATTTTCAGCCTCGATATCTTCAATTGTTGATGACTCCGACCCACTAGCTATGTCGGTCGGTGAGCTCCTAGTTTTCTGGAACCCATCATATAATGTTTCGATATTCGCATCGATGAGCGTCGGGTATTTCTGGGATCGGCTCGGTTCGTTGGTCACCACTTCCCCACTAGCCGCGAGCGATTTCTCGTTGTCCGAGTCGCTACCTAAGCCAGCTATTTTTAATGGACCTCCAGCAGCTGATTGCGGCTGTGTTGATCCGTCACTCAAGCCCAAACTGCGGTTCAGAAAGCTGCTTGCAACACCGGAAGCAAATTGGGACCAGAGGGATCCGACACTCTGACCCACGCGAGTACTGATATTGGTGAGGCTCTGACCTGATGTACTCCATATTGTCCGTTTGACGTATGGCAGCGGTTGAGGTTTCAGCGCAGCCATTGCTGGGGATATCAAGGGTTCAATGCGGTAACTAATAGGGTCAGACGGATGGAAGATATTGAACAGTTGATTGCATTTAGGTGACGAGACTGAGTTGGGAAAACAAGGGGATCCGGTCGAGTCTGTTATGGACGTCCCTGTTGAAATATTATGAGAGTCTGTAGGTTTGTATGATTGGCGAGAAAACTTTGAGCTTTTCAAGTCCCTTCCGGCAATAGTTTTCCCTTTCAGCATCTGGAAAAGGGCAATCGGAGATCCGAGGCAAAAGAAATCAGCACATTCGAAATCCAAGAGGAAGGCTTCTGATTGGCGATTTTCAGCTGTTCTGATTTTAGCACGTTTAGAATCCCGACTAGGGGGCTTCGTGTGTCCTGAATCACTTGGCTGGTGGCAGAGGATATCGAAAAGTATTGCACTACCCAGGGAATGACCGCAGAGACTGACAGAACCTTTAAACGTTGGATTGCGGTCCTTGAAAAGTTTATATATGCGATTACATTCCCTTTGCACGATACCGGCAATATGCTCTCGATATGCACTCTGGTAAAGCAGAACATCCATAGCCAGATCTGTAATCAGATTCCGAACAGCAGGGACCCCTTCTAATGTTATGTCGGCCAAACTGGGATAGTGCTCATCTTCGGCTGCCATTTTATCAGCGTCAGCAAGGTCGAGCTCCTTGCGGTGCTGTTTGAGTCCTTGTTTTGGAAAGTCAAGTAAATGTCTCCAGCATACGGGGAGGACTTGGACACGACAATTTTTGAGCTCGGAGTCGACTTGTGAGTTAAGAGCCTGCAAATCAGTTGATGCGGCGTACACGCTTTTCATGGTCTTCCTAAGGACATTGACGTCGTGCACGAAATTAATACTGTCCAAACGCAGTCCCAATCTTTGACCAATCCCATGAGTGACAAGAATGAGATGATCAATTTCTCTGTCCTCTTCTTCGCCTTCCACTTCTCCTGAATCTACCATCTCTTTTTCTTCCTGTTTCCGCGCCTGTTCTTCGAGTTCTTTTATTTGGTCATCGTCCTGTCGCTCTCCAGTCAAAGATGACATCTGACGCTCAAGTGGGCTTCTTTGGCGCTCCAAGGCGGCAAGTGGCTGATCCTGACCATTATCATCTGGGGCAAGTGGTGAAGACAAAGAGTCAGGAGGAGCTGATTGTCTTTTAATGGACTTAGTCGGGTTTTTGGGTGTTAACTCGGCGGCTTTCCCGTCTGCTAGTTCTTTCACTTTTTTGCTTTCCGAATATCCGCGAACGACTTTTGACCCTGCGGTTGCACCGAGCCGCTGATATACGGTATTGCTCATCCTCGATACAAAATCATCGGACATAAGCCATGCTGTAGATTCATCCTGGTATGCCACTGTATTGTTCATGTAGGACCCAAAAAGGCGATATGTTTCATTCATAGTCTTAGATGCGGATGAAGCCGCCCCCGCTGCTACATGAGACGGACCTTCTTTGTTGACTTGGTCCGCATTGGAGTTCAGTGACCCTGCGTTTCTGTGGTCTTTGGAAGACAAGGACACATTGCTCGCTAACGGGTTGCTCGATGAGCGCTTTCGTTGGATATTCCATGGTTTTACTTTCAAATAACCTTCCTCCAACTGAGTTGCAAGATTTTCATCGCACGGACGGAGATTTGAGCCTTCCTGAAAGAACCAAGAACCACGTCTAACCTCGTATATCGGGCCTTGCCAATAGGCAGGGCCAAGTTCCCTCTTCTGAACGTCGACATCGAATAAGTAATCTTCATTGACGGGAACCTTGACAGTCTGCGAAGAAGGATCCCTGGGGGTATCCCTCAATTTGGATGATTCCGCAGCATCTTCTCGATCCGCAAGATCCTGAAAGGCAGCTTCAATAGACTGAGAATCTCGTATCGAAAAAGGAACAAATTTTTTAGGAGCTCCCTGAGATTTAGGAGCAACTGCCTCCTTGCCCCAAAACGACGGTTTCGACTTTGGAGTATCAACCGCATAGAACCACCTAGTTTTTAGTGGGGGGCAATCTCTTGGATAGCGAGCTGCACTGATGCGATGGACTTGGGATACGGTATGGTCACGACCCTGCGACCGTTGTAAACATGGCTTTGCATTCTCAGCCTCCAAGCCTTCAGGTTGGGGTGTTCCGCTTCGGCTTCGTGATGTATTGCGTGAGGAGGCAGCGGGGAAAGAATCCGGCCGCGGGTCAGAATTGGACATCTGTCCCCAACGACCCCAAATCGTTTTTCGCAGCTGTGTGAAGCTAGTAGGACAGAGTTGAAACGAGCGACGAAAGAGTAAGCAAGAGTAGTTTGCCAGTTTCGAGGAAATATTGGCCTATGAGGCCAAATGTCAGGGTCCTTGTCTGATATCTCCAATCAAGGGGCGCGGTGTTGGAAAAAAGTCGAGAGCTGTACCCTCAAACCATAAGCACAAAGAACGGTATGGTATGATACAGTAGCCAACTCGTGGTGTATACGTAAACTGAAGTCCTTGATTAAAAACAGTTTGCCTCCAGCTTGAACGCGCACTGTCTGGATATGTCTCTTAGATAATAAGAACATATTTGTTGTCATTCCTACTGAGTATAAAAATGGTTGTTGGTTTCGGCTCATGACGTAGGCGGATGTATGGCAGTCGTAAAATACGGCGATACGACACGGAATGCTGCTGCCTGCAGTGGTATCGCCCGATACAAGCTTTATGATACGCGGCCTCAGCCCCATCCCACCTAGTTGACGCTGCGTTGCAATTTCAACTGCTGCAACCACCACGCCAGAGAGATATATATACCCATCCATTGTACTAACTGCCGCGTTGTGCTTCCAATTTCCACGAGCGAGGCCTGCGCTTCTCTATCTACAACAGACCTACTATCGATTGTGGTTCTTTAGCTTTCGAGTCGCCAGACTCGCCTTTGTTCATACATCTACCCCGCCAACGCAAAAGCTCCCTACCCTCAACCAGAGTCGCCTCGTTCTACTGCCGCGATGAACGTCATAAAACTCCAAAAGTATGATATACTAGTGTTGGTGCAGATTGAATGGACCTCCTAGGCGCTAATGAATATTTTTCAACCAATTTCAGGAAATATCCCCAGTTCCAACAGAGCGAAATATTTTCTCTCCAGGATGCTTTCCGGCGTCTAGATGTGGATGACAAGGGCTATCTTGACGAGGCTACGGCTATTAAAGCAACCCAGCAATCTGAAAGACAGCCATACGATGTTGTTCGTCAGGCCTTGAAGCAGGTCGAGCTGGACAGCTCGAGGCGCGTTGAGCTCGAGGACTATGTTGATGTACCTCCGCCCAAACAACTCGCATATTCCCTCTTCTCTAGAGTCCACATTGAGGGGCTAACATTTATTTTGCATTGTAGCTGATAGCAAAACTCCGCGATACTTCATCCGCGCCATCCCAACGTTCTGCTGGTCCAGCACCAACTCCCACGGGCCCAACCGGTGCCCGCCATGTGTCCAAGGGGAGTATCGGGGGGAAGATTCATGTTCAAGGCTCCTCTGCGAATGTCACCCACACCATCAATGAAGACGAACGGACTGAATTCACACGACATATCAACGCAGTCCTTGCCGGTGATCCCGATATTGGCCACCTCCTTCCGTTCCCAACTGACACCTTCGAGATGTTCGACGAATGTAAAGACGGCCTAGTGCTCGCCAAATTGATCAATGACAGCGTTCCCGATACCATTGATGAACGAGTATTGAACCGCCCAGGCAAGAAAATAAAGCAGTTAAACGCTTTCCATATGACCGAAAACAACAATGTCGTCATTAACTCCGCTAAAGGCATTGGCTGCTCCGTTGTCAATATTGGTAGCGGTGATATCATCGAAGTTCGAGAGCACCTCATATTAGGCTTGATCTGGCAGGTTATTCGCAGAGGCCTTCTCGGAAAAATCGATATCAAGCTTCACCCCGAACTCTACAGGCTTTTGGAAGATGATGAGACTCTGGAACAGTTTCTCCGGCTTCCACCCGAACAAATTTTGTTGCGATGGTTCAATTACCATCTGAAGAATGCTAAGTGGGACAGGAGGTATGTACCTGTTGGAAGTAGACTTTCTATGCCACCGCTAATAGTAGATAAAAACAATTCAGAGTCAACAACTTCTCAAACGACGTCAAGGATGGAGAAAATTATACGATCCTTCTCAACCAGTTAGCTCCAGATATCTGCTCCCGCGCACCTCTCCAAACTCACGACTTACTCCAGCGAGCAAATCAGGTCTTGGAAAATGCAGACCTCCTCGAATGCCGCAAGTTTTTGACCCCAACTTCTCTAGTAGCAGGCAACCCGAAACTCAACCTTGCTTTCGTGGCAAACCTATTCAACACACATCCAGGCCTAGACCCTATTACAGAGGAAGAAAAGCTTGAAGTCGAAGATTTTGATGCCGAGGGTGAGCGTGAAGCCCGTGTTTTCACTCTTTGGTTGAATTCTCTGGATGTACAACCAGCTGTCAACTCGTTATTCGACGACCTTCGCGATGGAACAATCCTCCTGCAAGCTTATGATAAAGTTATCCCAGGAAGCGTTAACTGGAGACATGTCAACAAACTCCCTACTTCCGGGGGCGAGCTCATGCGGTTTAAGGCTGTGGAGAATACAAACTATGCCATTGAACTAGGAAAACAAAACCACTTTTCCCTTGTTGGCATCCAGGGAGCCGATATTACTGACGGCCAGCGGACACTGACCCTCGGGCTTGTATGGCAGCTCATGCGCAAGGATATCACCAACACACTATCCTCACTCGCGCAGAGAATGGGTAAGCGTGAGATCACCGACAGTGAGATGATCAAATGGGCAAATGACATGTCACGCGCTGGGGGCAAGGGTTCGACCATCCGTAGTTTCAAGGACCAAGCAATAGGAACTGGTATTTTCTTGCTTGATGTCCTCAACGGAATGAAGAGCAACTATGTAGACTACGACCTGGTTACCCCTGGACGTACAGATGAAGATGCGTACGCAAACGCGAAATTGAGTATCAGTATTGCACGAAAGATGGGCGCGACCATCTGGCTTGTTCCCGAAGATATTTGCCAAGTTCGCTCCCGACTGGTTACCACTTTTATTGGTATGTTGACATATCTCTCCCTTAATTTACCCTTGTTGTATAAGTTGTCTCCTCTCCAGTATATGATGTCAGGTTTAATTGCTAATATTCTTTCGTTTCCCAGGCTCTTTGATGGCTACGTACGAGAAAATGTAGGAAAGAGATTGCAACATGAACGAAAATGTCCCGGGAGGCTGTTATGGACCCATATGTATGGCCGGCTAGATACTTGCTCTCCTGCGAGAACACACCCCCTCCTTTTAACTTTCCCCAACATCAAGTCTTTTCTCTCTTTTTTTTTTTTTTTTTTTTTTTTTTTTTTTTTTTTTTTTTTTTTTTTTGGTTTTTATCTTCACCCCTTCCTTTCCTTAACGTGTCTCCTCATTCCTGGCTCATTGATTGGTTAATTGGTTCGGGACCCATCGTGACAACTACCGTAGGTAACCTACCAGCTCATAAGCTCTCTTCAAGCTTAGATACCAATATTACTGTCCAAAAGTAAGAAATTATGCTCTAACATGATTCGTTTTGTATGAAGAGGAAGGCAAATTGGGTGGAGAAAGCTACGTTGTTTGTTTTGGCAATATGAAGGTGGCCTTGTTAGGCTCCTCTCTAGGTAGACATTGATGAGCTTGGAAACAGAGAATTTAAAATATTATTTCAACCATGAAGAAACAAAACGTACTTTTCAAATTATGGAGCTATCTGTGAACTAGAAAGTCAATAGTGGCAAGCAACTCACTGGTGGGCGTTTCCAAACCAGCAAGCTGCCCAGGAGAAATTTACGAAAACAAAGTGCTGAACTTCCCACAAGTGGGGCAGGCTTTTGAGAGAGCACAATGGTAGCTTTCGTTGATTTCACCAGAACAATGAACCCCTGTTAATAGAAATCGGCATTACCCTCTCATAGCAAGCACACTTCGAGTGACAAAGTAAACAGGAAACAGAAAACAAAAACAGAAGCCAAGCAAATGGGCAAAACATTCTTTTTTAAAAAACAAAACCGAGGAATGATAGAGAGGGGGTTGCAAGGGGTGTATTATCTGGATATATTGTGAGGAAATACCGATTGTCGAAACAGTCTGCGACTTTCAAATGGGCTACCTATTAAAGTGTGGTTTCCAGGCAAATAGCTCCCAGTGCCGAGGACGAAAAGGGGGGTTCACTGCAGAGCAAATTACCGCCATCATTTGTACTTTTCAAAAAAATGGTGGGCGAAAATGTTACTTGATCAGGGGATGCAAAACTCGGATTCACTCAGCAGTATCCAGCTCATCATGAGCAGGGGTTGGAGAATCCAGGGGTACTGATGAATACGGTTAGCAAAAAATGTATCAGAATAGTGATTCATCTTTTTTTGAAGATTGATAAGCCCATACCTTTCCTGTCATCACTATTCGTTCCATTCTCGCGATCGTCGTCACGCCTATCGCGATCATCCTTCATGTCGCGATCCCGGTCCCGCTCACGGTCCCGGTCATCAGGACTCCGCGAGCGGTCGCGGTCACGTCTCTCGTAATCGCGGTCGCGACGGTCATCTTTGCGGGGAGAGAACTCTCCGCGAGCTCGTCGGGGAGATGGAGAGCGGGGACGGCGAGGGGGAGTACGGTCTCGGCGGCGGTCACGGCCGGAATCAAAGCGCCAGGACGCAGATGGAGGAGTACGTGCCCACTAATAACTGTTAGCTCGAACTAGATAAAATATCGACAAACAGGGATTAATTACCTCGATTTTTAGAAGGTCGTCCCTACCGATACGTTTGTTGTGCATTTCATGATAGGCGTCGTCGGCATCGCGACGGCTCTCGTACTCAACAAACGCAAAACTATAGATAGTGTCAGGTCATTCAAAGCCAATTGAGATCAGTCTCCCGCCATTCGATGCGAAAGAAGGAACTTACAGGCGACTAGAAGCGGTACGGGGAGCTGGGATATCGCAGCGAACAAGCCGACCATATCTTCATCAGGCGGGTTAGCAAATTGCACTATGAAATACTTTGATGCAAGTAATCGCGAATAGAGATAAGTGGAGGAAAGTGGATGAGAGAACGGGTAAGGTATGCAAGAAATATGATTTTTTTCTTCTTTTTTTTTTTAAGACTCAGGAGGAGCCATGCCAAGAATCATCATTATTTTCATGGTGGACAGTTATTCAGGAAGAAAAGCGCCGGTAAGGCCGTGCGTCGGGCGCCAGGTAAAGGGGGGGGAGAGGAGGAAGGAGTAGAAGCATCGGTATCACGAATTTTTCGAGTCAAGACGAACGAAGAAGAGGGAGGACCGTCCGCAGGATATCGGCAGGGGAGGATCGACGAATAGGACATACCGTTCGAATTCGTAGGCTAGTTCTCGAGCTCGAGTGCCGTGGCCGAAACCAGTGACATAGAGAGTAGTGCCGCCACGAGACATGGTGAAAAGGGATAGTTGAACAACAGCAGCAAGGGGAAACAGTGGAAGCAGAAAGCCTAGCAACGACAAAGATAAAAGAATACCAAACAAAGCGGATGGAAAAAGCACCAGCTTAAAGAGAAACAGTAAAAAGAGGTGATGGAGATGAAGGGATATCTAGATGGTGATGAGATAGGAGGAGAGATGGATGGAGATGGGGATGGTGAGGTTGAAGATAGAAGAAGAAGAAGACGACGAGAAACGAACGACGACGGTGACGAGAGAAAATGTTTTGAGCTTGGGCCAAAAACAGACGTGCTGGTAATACGAATAATATGCTCAATACGCCTGGTCCCGCGTAATATATTACAGCATTTGCCGAGGGTTAGACATTATTGATACGAGATATATGACAGTACCGTACCGATTTCGTACGCAAGCAGCATCCGTGGATGTAATGTACTGTACATGTACTGTACCGTACCTGTACATATATACAATACGAGAGTGTACGTACTGTTATATAGCGTCTCGGCCAGGGACAAAGACAAAGGCTGGCTGGTTCCTCTCGGAATGCCGCCCAGTCACGTGTCCGTCACAACGACAAACCTTGGGCGAAAAAAATTAAGAACAAGATTCCCGAACAGTCAGCCAACGCCGAATTCGAAGTCAGCGCAAAACTGGGTCGTCGCTGGAGCGCCTTGCATATACTGTTGATTGCCGCTACACTCACTAGTCGAATGCACCACTGTCCTCTCGGCAATACCTTCGCGGCTTCTTGTCGCAATTGATATCATCGTCCTCGTGTGCCGATCTCCATACCTGATCAGTTGACGTACCCCCATCGGTCAACCCTAGCCTCTGCCTCCCCCGTTTGGCAGATTGATGAGGAATAAAAAGAGAGCGAAAGGGAGAAAACAGAACTTTTGGAAAATATAGCATTCGATCTCTCCACCTTTCCCTCGGCTTATTGTTTCAAGTACCAAACCTGCTTCACACGGTGTATGCTTTTTCCATGGACTGTGCAGTGTTAAGACTCCTATTGCCAGAGTACTGCCTTTCAAACCACTAGTACATATCTGCAGATCTGTCTCTCTTTATATATATATATGTTTGGCCCCGCCTGATGAAAGAGCTTTCCCAAGATACTCAGGCGAAGCGAGTTACTCGTCCAACGTGCTTTGGCTAGTTTGTGAGATCGGGGACTCAACCCGTACTGGGTTCTTGACGCGGGTTCCTCACCATGAGCCTCGGTCCTAGAGATACAGCTCGAAATGAAGCTTCGGAAAGGGAAATGACACCGTTATCGTCGGGCGAGTCCAAGTCGCGCATAGAGGTACGGATATTACATCTCTTCTTTGGAAACATCATGTTGTTTCCGACCTTTCAGTTTTCCTGGGGTTAACTATCTCCTCAATACAACTAGGACACTCTTCCGCAACCGCCTACTTCTCTCCTCAGACAAACTCGGGACAAGTTATCGGAACCTGTGACCGCCGCTTTTATTGCAGGAGGGGTTGCCGGTGCGGTGTCTCGAACGATAGTTTCCCCTCTCGAGCGATTGAAGATTTTGCTTCAAATTCAGAGCGTCGGCCGAACGGAATACAAACTATCTATATGGAAGGCTTTGGTCAAGATAGGTAAAGAAGAAGGGTGGAGAGGTTACATGCGTGGCAATGGGACAAATTGCATACGCATAGTGCCTTACTCTGCTGTACAGTTTGGAAGCTACAGTTTTTATAGAAGGGTAAGCTTAAGAATCAGAATTTGCTGGGTTTACTGTGTATTTTGCTAACAAGGATCTCAGTTCTTTGAACCAACCCCTGGGGGTGAACTTACTCCCTTACGTCGCTTAATATGTGGAGGTATGGCGGGTATCACGTCTGTCACGTTTACTTATCCATTAGATATCGTAAGAACGCGACTTTCGATACAGTCTGCGTCGTTTAGCGAACTGCGCAAAGGACCAGAACAAAAGTTACCCGGAATATTCCAGACAATGCGGTCGATGTACAAGACCGAGGGCGGCATCCTTGCTCTTTACCGTGGAATAATCCCCACCATTGCGGGCGTTGCTCCCTATGTAAGTGTTTGAATCGCTGAAATACTTCCCATTGCTCCCAATGGTCAACGCTAACTTCTTTTACAGGTTGGATTGAATTTTATGACTTATGAGTCAGTACGAAAGTATCTGACCCCTGAAGGGGACCTTAACCCTAGCCCTTACCGCAAGCTTCTAGCCGGTGCTATATCAGGAGCCGTTGCTCAAACATGCACATATCCATTGTAAGGCGAAATTTTACTTTTTACCTTTTTAAATATTATCTAATTAAACATTACAGTGATGTCCTCCGAAGAAGATTCCAGGTCAATACCATGTCAGGTTTAGGGTACCAATACACCTCCGTGTGGGATGCGGTGAGGCTTATCATAAAGCAAGAAGGAGTCAGAGGCTTATATAAAGGAATTGTACCGAACTTGCTTAAAGTGGCACCAAGCATGGCAAGCAGTTGGCTCAGCTATGAACTAACGCGCGATTTTTTGGTCGGGCTGGGTGAAGATAATAGTGATTAAAATGGCTCAAAGCGCGAATTGGCAACCTGGTCCCGACATGCACTCCTCGCATGCCTGGTCAAACACCGATTGTTATAAACACTCCGCGCCGCCTATGGACCCGCTTGACTGTCAAAGATTTCCTTGACTGTGATATCATGCCATACATGTTAGAAAATTTTTCCCTTCGATGGCCCACTGTGTTCCATCTGTCTATTCCTTTATTTTTCTTTACCTTTTCACTTTTTGTTTCTCGGATTTCCTTATACTTCTCGCATCTGACGAGCTGAAGAATTGCTAGAAGTCCACATCGTTTTAGAGGGGGAAAAATGAAGAATTGTCTTTGAATCCAATTCCATAGACAAGTCGTTCGGCTAATCAATACAGTGCAAGGGTTGTACATATATCAGCATATAGGTACCTAGGTTTATACCAAAAATAAAAATAAAAAATAAAAAATAAAAATAAAAAAATAAAAATAAAAATAAGAAAAATAAAAACCAAAAACCAAATATCAACTTAATCGCATTAGGTGGGAACCTTTGGAACCGCGCCACTTTCCATTTATAGACTAGCGTGGATATGTAAGACTTGGTGAACGCGGCTCTAGCCATCCGTCCCAAACGGGCTAGCGTAGGGTTACGCCCGCACACTCCCTCCGCTCCAAAATATTGTCAAGCAGAACATCTTGTTGTCTTCGAATCTCGCATCGGTGCAAAAGTCAACTTTCGACAACGGTATCCATTTCCACCAGCAGCCATGGGTAAGCATTTTTCGATTTTATCCTGAGTTTATTTCGAAGATTTGTTGTTGATTAAAAGCGACTTGCGTTTGCTGAGGTGGAATACTGACACTATTCTCTTCCTAATCTTCCCAGGTATCGATTTGGACCGTCACCATGTCCGGGACTCCCACCGCAAGGCGCCCAAGAGCGAGAATGTCTATCTTTTGCTTCTCGTGAAGCTCTACCGCTTCCTTGCCCGTAAGCTAAATTCCCGCGAAATTCCTTGAAATTGAAGAAGAATTAGGGCAATAAAAGGCGACCCAGCAATCAATTTGTGAGAAGTACAAAACCATTTTCTAAAATCCAAACAACACAGGCCGTACCGACTCCAACTTCAACAAAGTCGTCCTACGCCGTCTCTTTATGTCGCGCGTCAACCGTCCTCCCGTATCCCTCTCTCGAATCGTAGCTGCCGTAGGAACCAAGGAAACCGCTGAGGCAAACAAGGGAAAGACCATTGTTGTTGTTGGTACCGTCACTGATGACAACCGCCTCCTGAACCTCCCAAAGATGTCAGTCGCAGCTCTCAGATTCAGTGCTACCGCCAGAGCTAGAATCGAGAAAGCCGGTGGGGAGACCTTGACTCTCGATCAACTCGCGCTTAGAGCCCCAACTGGTGCCAACACGTTGCTGCTGCGGGGTCCCAAGAATGCCAGAGAATCCTTCAAACATTTCGGATTCGGCCCACACAGTGGAAAGGTTAGAGATTCTCCAATGGATACATATTTGCGTCATGTTTGGTTATTCGTGTGCTAACTCGCTCATTTTCATCTGTGTAGAAACCAAGAGTCGAAAGCAAAGGTCGGAAATTCGAACGGGCTCGTGGTCGGAGACGGTCTCGTGGCTTCAAGGTTTAAGGTGTTTTTCTATGGGTTCTTGTTTGGGTTCAGCAAAATATGTGAGGCGGTCTTGCGATATTGGCCACTATAGGTTTCTAGTCAGATTGAACAAGCCCATCATCATGAGTGATGTTTCACAACTTTTTTATCTCCCTGGAGCTCCTGAACCTTTTGTTTGTCCTTTTCTCAGCCTCGTATTTTATTACGTCCAATTTCAACCGGATTTTTTCTCTGTTCACCGAAAAGAAAGGAAAAGCGATGCAGCAGTAACAAAAGAGTGTCTTCCAGGTGAAGCGCAGGAAAGTCTCAATCTAGTCCAGCCAACAGGAAGCATGCGTAATCAACAGGGCGGATTATTTTCAAGGACTCGCAAGGTTACAAGGGAAACAACAAGTTCTCATTAATTTTATATCCTTCCTGCTTTTTGTTTGCTTTTTGTTTTGGGAGGAATATCGATCATATGCTATTGTATCAGATATCTGAAAGAATTGTTGCCCCCAAGAACCTATATGCTTAACTTCTGATGTTTCCAGTTTTTTCCACCCTCACCTTCAAAGTAATCGCCAGCAGCCTGACCATTGCCGCGAACTAAATATTTGTAGATAGTCAAACCCTCCAAGCCTACCGGACCCCTCGAATGAATCTTGTTCGTACTAATTCCAACCTCTGTCCCAAACCCATATCTCATACCGTCGGCAAACCGAGTACTCGCGTTCCAATAAACACCTGCGCTATCGACACCAGCCAAGAAACGTTCAGCAATAGGCCTCGAGGAGGTTAAAATTGCATCTGTGTGTTTCGACGAGTGTGTATTAATATGGTCGATGGCGGCGTCTACAGAGGTCCCCGTGCACGACGGTGAGATTGTTTTGATTGCGAGGGTAAGGTCTAAGAACTCAGTGCTGTAATCAGCCTCGGTTGCGTCCTGCAATAGTGCAGATTGTTCCCCCGTAAGCTTTTCGAGGAGAGCCTGTTTCGATAAAGCATCGCAACGAAGGATGATGCCTTTTGAGAGCAGGGCTTCCACAATGGGCGGTAGTAGAGTCGACACCGCATCTCGGTCCACCAAAAGTGTTTCCACGGCGTTGCATGCGGCGGGGTAGCCGGTTTTGGCATCGATTATAACTTTCGTTGCCATTGACAAGTCGGCGTCTGAGTGAAGATATATCGAGCAGATGCCATCAGCATGGCCGAGAACGGGAATTTTGGTGTTATCTTTCACGTAGCGAACGAGGTCATTGGATCCGCGAGGAATGACGAGGTCGATATATCTATCCTGTGCAAGAAGGGGGAGGATGGCATCTCTCGTTTTAACGAGTTGGATAGAAGCGTTCGGAACTTGCGACTGGGATATGGCTTCTGCAATGACATTGGAGATGGTTACGAAGGATTCAGTCGATTCCTTGCCCCCTTCAGGTTGGATTAGGTGTCAGAAGGATATCTCTCACGACAGGGTATAGAGTGGTTTAATGGAATAGCAGTCAGTACCTTTCAGAATAGCGGCATTTCCGGACTTAATTGATAAAGCAGCGATATTTACAATCACTTCTGGGCGTGCCTCAAATATTATAAGCAATACTCCGATGGGACATGTCACTCGTTCGAGAATGAGGTCATCGTCCAGAAGTGTTCGAAGAGTAACCTTCCCAACTATCAATTCGTTAGCACCGTTTAGAGGGCAGCGCGCCAGTACAATGTGCGCATGAGATTGAGAAGAATAAGTGATTCAGAAAAGGAATATAGGGATTAACCGGTGTGCGACTTACTGGGGTCTTCCAGTTCTCGCACATCCAGAATGCCCTTCAACATGTCTTCGTATTTCCCGGGCTTTGCCAAATCCAATCTCTTAATGAGGCTCATGCTCAATTCGCCATTCTCTGCAGCTTTAGTAGCAGCTTCGATATCTCTCGCATTTGCTTCGAGGATCACATCTTTTTGCTTTGACAGCGCGGCGTACATCAAGTCCAAAGCCTCATTCCGAGCGGAGTTAGACAGCGTCGCAAGGTGTCGAGAGGATTCGGCGGCAATTCTTGCCGCCTGATGAGGCGAGGATTCTGTAAGTGACATTATTGTATATCAATGGCAGGCATATATATAAAAGCTATGCTATGGTGGTTGATGCAGTGAGGCAAAATGCCATTGGGCGCGGGGTAATTTATTTAGTTGCAATATTTATTTTGTCCGATCGAGAGATTGGTACATCGGCTAACTAACTACTGGAAGCTGATTCGCTAGTTGGTTATTTAACTACCAGCCATTATTAAGATTATTATTCTCACTCTCGAACTTCGGTCAGAATCTTCAACTACAGTAACTACATATCCTCTGACGCCAATATTTTGTTGAAGCATATAACCCTTGATTATTTCTTTTTTATGATTTTTCAGACCTATCCAAAAGAGCTGGACAGAATAATAATAAAAAAAAAACAGAATGAGAGAAAGCTCGCTGCTATCTAAGTTCTTCCAGATTAGCAGGCCAGCAAGACAGTTTGGGGGCCTCTCTTTAACCAGGAACTTCGACGTCAGGAGTGTAAGTCATGGTATAGTAAGTACATGTACAGTACAATGAGCTTGATGGAGTCTTTAGATCGACCTGCGCTAGAGGCACGAATAGGAAAGGAAACCAGTTTATTACTCTCTATCAAGCTTGTCAAGCAACACAAGCAAGAGTTTGTGCACGAGCTTATCGCATTATTTTTGCAGTGGTTGCAAATGTCATCTTTGAACAAGTAAGGCAATTTAACGTTATTTAGGGATACTGTACCCACTGTGCTGTTAGCCTCCCAATAGAAAAATCACCGGAAAACATCATCTTCTATGGGGCATGGGTGCCCCTCGATCAAAAATTGTGTGTTGTTTTGAGAACATACAAATGCCCGGGCAGAGTGGGTTGGTGAGCCCTGGACATTGATGGACAGAGGAGAACAGAATATATCTTAAATAATAGAAATGTCACGATGGCAGTATTCTGCCAACAACGGACCCTTGAGCTTTTAATGGCAATATCTATCAAAATGTGCCAGCAAAATAGCGACGTTTTGGTTAAGATTACATTACATATAGGGGTTGTCTTGCTGTTCTAAAAACAGCCAAAAAAGCACGAGTGCTCATTGAAACGAAAAAAAAAATATTCTCAGGATCACACCAAAATTGCTCAATTTTTCCCAGACCGGCTCTGCCAGATCTTAGCTGGGAAAGAATCTGGATACTTCGAATAATCCTTAGTGGTTGACGTCGAGCCTCCATTTTCCGCCGGCGGTGTGCCTTCAATTTCTTCTTCAGTTTTGGCCCCGGTCAAATCAATCTCGTCTACAGGAATAAACCACGGCTCCTTCCGGCCAACAGTGAACCTGTGCCCAATATACAAGACGACAAACAATAAAGTACCCACATACGCCGTCATGAAGTCTGAGACATTCCACTGAGAGGGGAAGAATGTGTAGAAACCATTGAGGAGGCCAACAATGGTAAAGAACACGATGCAGAGCCATGCACCGGGTTTACCGCAAATTGAAACGTACGGCAAAGTTTTATGGTCGATACCCTGGAATTCTAGGGCCTTGCGGAACCGAAGATACGAAAGCGAGCACAGAATCCAGGAGAAGTAAGCGGCCATGTTGATCATATTAACGAACCAGTTGAACACCACGCCCGCACCAGAGCTGACGCTCAAGTACGCCAACAGCGCAATCACAGCGCAGCTCGTCACAGCGAAATAAGGGACGCCCCAGCGATTTGTCTTGGCGAATATTTGGGGGGCATTGCCTGCCACGGCCAGCGAGTATATGGAGCGAGAGGCCAGATACGTGTAAATGTTGCCGGCAGACCACGCGGAACACAAGATGACGGCATTCACGATGTGGTCAAGCACCTTAATTCCCGCATGCTTAATTCCAACAACAAATGGAGAAGCTCCAGCTCCAGCACCCCCAGAAGTGAGCTCCTCAGCGTTGGATGGGCATGTTAAGGTAACCGCCAGGATAGGGAGTACGTAAAACACGACGAGTCGAACGACAAATGCCTTAGCGGCCACGGGTATCGTCTTTCGAGGGCTTCTAGTTTCGCCACCGGTGGTAGCTACCATCTCGACGGCAAAGGAAAGCTGAGAGCGTCAGGTTTGTTGATTGTCATATGCGCAACCACAAAGAAGGGGGACCTTACAGGGAGAATAACGCTGACAAGTGTGCCAAGGAAGCTCACAAACAGGCCCGCGTTTCCCTCGATAATCCAAGTGTTCGCTGGGCCTGGATCATGCCAGTATCTGAACCCGACGCGGTCGCCAGAGGGGCCTCCCCCGGATGCCAGAACAATTGACAGAATAATCAGGCCAAGAAGAAGGGAAAGTTTGAGAGAGGAGAAGGCAAATTCGGCTTCTCCAGAAGAAGCCACAGGCAGATAGTTCAATCCGACGATGATTACCATTAGGATGGTGATAAATATTGCAACGTTGACCGGCGGATCCCAGTACTGAATAATGAGTGTCGCCGTGGTTATCTCAAAGGGAACCAGAATTGCGTATGCATACCAGTAATTCCAGCCCAAAGCAAATCCAAACGATTTCGAGAGGAAAGCTGTTGAGTAGAAATCCGGAGCAGCTCCATGTAGAGGGATATACGCTGCGATTTCGAGCAACAGAGTGGAAAAGACCCAGACGACGGAACAGATAATGACGAACGCAGACAGGGTCATCGCCGGGCCTCCTCTGGCCAAGGTGCGTCCAGAGCCGACCAGATAAGCCGTGCCAATGCAACCTGCGCGACTCCTGTTAGATCATTGATTGATTGGCCTTAAGGGGTTCGAAATAAAACTATTTTGACGACTTACCTCCAAGGGAAATCAGATAGAGGTGTCTGGGCTTGAGCCAGGCCGAATCTCTTTTTTCCTGAGGAGCCTCGAGGCCATATTCAACGATCCACGTCCGGTCCGCCTCCTCAGTCTCGCTCCTCATTTGTTTTTCTGTCATGGCCAATGGCTGTGATATTGAACTGATAAACTGAGGTTTGATTCATAGCATCATCTGAATGGAGTTCAGAGACTTGAGCACCTCTATATACCACTGAGGTTTGACAGCTTATGTTGTGAATTCGATGGAAATGGGCTGAGCCTGCTTTGCCTTCCATATCCCCGGAATTTTGGAACTATTCATCGAAAATCATTCTCTCGTACTCTGTACTCTAGTCAGGGATTCCCCAGGTTTGAGCTTCCTCAGTGGCTGCCGGGAGAGCATCAGACATATGAATCCCCGTGGGGCAGTGCTAGTGCAGGCCCAAGAGACGAGACATTGTGGAGAGGAACATTCAACGAAACTGTTTTCGCCAACGATTAGTGGCTGGCGTCTCTGGCGGTATTTGTTCGCAAGCTGGGCGAGCGATGATCCCCCCACCTTCGTATTCTTCCAATCAAACTATCGGTAGGTAGCCGAGGGGGTGCGAGGGAGGGAAACAGGGCTCAATGGGCAGCCGAACTCAAGATGCCAAGTCGTTGCGAGGCTTTGGGCGGGGAAATCCTCCTCAAACCCATGAACAACTTTAACAAGGTTGGCCCATCCACACCCAGCATCACCCTTTGTGAGACTCCATAAATAAGGTAACAATTAATTTAAGTAAAAAAGAATGTCCGGCGAAGGCAAGCCTCCCTCTGACATGACAGAGGCAATCCCTCCCTATTCTCCCGGCGCCTCTCCGGGGGCCAAAGACCGCCTGATACGCCGCCGGGTTACCGTTGACGGCCGTGTCCGTTCTGGATGCTTGACTTGCAAGACCCGCAAAAAGAAGTGCGATGGACAGATCTCCAGCGTTGACAACCGCTGCAGAGCCTGCATCCGCCTGGGGCTCGTCTGCGAACAATCGCCCCTGCGAAAGGTGGCACCACGACGTCGGACGCTGACAACAGAGGTAGCTACTACGCCAGAGAATATCAGCAACAAGCAGCAAGAGACCCAGAGCCAGGCCCGTTCTGACGGCAAGATGGGCGATTCTCAAGATCAAACTCCTCCCAATTATAGCGAAGAGGATTGTACAGAGCTCGTCCGCACATCGTCGCTGGGATTTCCAATAAACAGAAGTCTTGTTGGTCCTCTGTTGGGCTCCCTGAACAGTATAGAACCACTGCTGCTCAAATACTTCCTCAGTGACGTCGCACCACTCTGCTCAATCCTGCAACAAGATGGTGCTAGCTTCTGTTCTGTACTGCTGCCGATGGCCATCGTCGACTCCTCTCTATTGCACGCTCTCTTCACCTATGCTTCCGTCCATTTCGATGCCACCGCGCCCGTTTCAACGGCCATCTCTCCCCGAACAAGGCTGGGGTTTGAGACTTATGTCGCGCGCGGCATCTCAAACGCAATCGCTCGGAATACCGTAACCGAAAGCACTGTGGCCTGCGCGCTGGTCGTTAGCACCGCTCATGTTATCGGCGGTGACACATCTCGCTGGCTCCTACACTTGCAAGGTGCGGGACACCTAATAAGCCACCTTGGTCCTCCACGGCTGCTCAAAATCCCCGATGGAGCGTTTCTTCTGCGATATTTCGCGTACCATGACATCATGGCCGCCTTGAGCACTGGACGACACCCTTCGATTGAGGGCGTATATTGGGCTCTCAATATTGATGGAGATGTCCATTCCGCGGATTCCTTCGTGGGCCTCGCGCATCATATATTTCGCCACATCACGAGTATCTGCGCGTTCGTTGCCGACACCTCTGATCTCGACGCTTCTTCGAGTTGCGATCGGTTGGCGAACGAAACTCTTCGGGCAGAAACCATCGCTCATGCACTTCGCTCACAGGATTTGCACCTCCAACTGAGGTATACAGATAACTATAGCGAAGCCCTTGTCCACCATGCAGAGGCATTCCGGTTTGCCGCTCTTTTCCATCTCTACCGCCGATTACTTCATATCTGCGGTCCAAGTGCCATCTACGAACAGCACATGGTGGAGTGTGTGCAACGTATATTCAGTCATGTGTCCCTAGTTCCGTTGAACCTATATTGCGAAATTGGATTACTCTTTCCCTTGTTTATGGCGGGAATAGGCGGTGCCAACGATGCAAGCGCCGTTCATTACATCCAAAACCGCCTCGACTACATCGAAACCTGGACCAAGTTCAAGCATGTAACAAGGACCCGGGAACTGTTGCAACTGCTTTGGGATCAAAAGCGGACAGATTGGGAGGTAGTGCTCCGGGAATTAGATTGGCATATATCTCTGGCCTAAATTCCGCCAATGGTGTGAACGTTTTCGAGACAACGATATTTCCTGTTTGGACAGTCGACTATGAATTTTATTTTTGCCTCGTGGTGACGGGTTCGGCGCATCTGGCGCGCAATTTCCATGCCCAGAAAAAACCAAAACCCCACCTGTAGCTTAGCACTGTGCATCTGCAAGTAACATTGTGGAGAAAGCGGATGGCTCAGCGCAGGTAGTCATCAAAAATGTCGGCTTGAATTCAGTGCTCCAAGTGGTACCGCAATTCCTCCGTGAGAATGACAAAAAGACAGTTTCCTATCGTTGAAAGAGGGAGGGAAGTTGCCAACACGGATTTTACCTTTTCCCTTTATTTTTCTTACCCAGACAAATACATTCTCCTGGTCAACATGACTCCCCATCACCGTCCTCTATATTTCAACGCTGGTGCACAATCCTGCTCCAGCAAAGGGTTCAACTCCGCCAAATCAGTGAATGCTTTCCATACGCAGCTCGAAGATTATCACCCATCTCCCCTCATGCTGTTGCCTGGTGCGGCAGAGGATATTGGGGTCAAGGCCATCTACGCGAAGAATGAAACCAACCGACTGGGACTCCCGGCAGTCAACACTCTCAGCGTGTCATGGGCAATTTTTCGAGCTGTAGTAAATCGTTTAGGGTTGCTGGAGGATGCTACTATCAAGGCAGTCAGGGCTTGTCTGTCTGAAGAACCCGTTCCTCTCTTCACTCCCTCGGAGGGCAACCACGGGCAGGCTGTGGCTCATATAGGCTTGCTCCTGGCAACACCGGTTCAGATCCACGTCCCGGTGCACACAAGTCCTGAGACCATCTCACTCTTGCACATCAGAAAAGCAACAGTTGTCCAATCTAGCGGCTCTAGCTGCGACGCGCTCTCAGAGGCGCAAATTGCCTCCCAATGAAACAACAGCATTTTGATTCAAGAGGATGCTAGTTCAGGCTATCATGAGATTCCACAGGTATAAAGATATTCCTATGCTCCTCAAACTTCCTGATTCCATTCAAGAACAACACTGATAAGCAATCATATTTGTACAGTTAATTACTGAGGGTTACTCAACAATTATGCATGAGATTGACTACCAGCTCGCAGGTGAGCAGCTGAGCCTTGTAGTCTCTCCTGCTCGGGCTGGATCGCTCGCCCAAGCAGTTGTGGCCCACTACAAATCATCAGAAAGGAAATCTACAGTCTTCATGGCAGTTGAGCCAGACACCGCTGGCCTTTTGTGGAATAGCTTGACTAATGGGAAACCCGCGATCGGGAAAACTAGTTCAACCATCATGACTGAGCTAAAGTGTGGGAGACTTTCTGAGACCGTGTGGCCACTTCTAAAATGTGGAACTGACGCAAGTATAACAATCTCTGACTACGAGGCCCATCGGGCGAGCCTTGAGCTACAAATGCTAGGCATTGCAGGACCCAGTGGTGCAGCCAGTCTAGTGGCTCTTCGTGCGCTCAGTGAATCAGACAAGACTCAGTTGGGGCTTAATCAGGATTCTATAGTAGTTTTAATATGCACAGAGAGGGGTCCCATGAACTTCAAAACTCTGAAAGATGTTGCTTCTGACAATGTAATTGACTTGACCTAGACATTAGTGCAAATTGGCTCTTCAAATCCTGATTTCAGCTCCATTCCAGGCCCGGGTGAAACCTCGATTGCACAATATATCACTGTGTGGCTTCAGCATCGCAACATCGAATACCATTGGATTGAGCCAACTCCAGGGCGACCTTCCGTTGTTGGTATTGCACGCGGCTCTGGTGGAGGCAAGAGCCTCATGTTCAATGGGCATATGGACACTGTCACGCTCCTAGGGTACAATGGCGACCCTCTTAACCTTTTAATATCCGATGGGAATCTTTATGGTCGGGATTCTGCGGATATGAAGAGTGGTCTTGCTGTTGGCATGGTAGCCATCGCCAATGTGAAGGGAATTAATTTGAGGGGAGACATGATCCTCGCGGCGGTTGCGGATGAGGAGTCAGAAAGCCTTGGAATGGAGCAATTACTGCAAGCAGGATGGCGTGCGGATGCTGCCATTATTGCTGAACCGACCGAGATGGCTCTCATCAACAAGCACAAGGGATTTGCGTTATTTCAAGTTGATATTCACGGCGCAGCCGCTCATGGATCTCGTGCGGATCTCGGTGTCGACGCCATCTGCAAAGCTGGATATTTTCTCGTCGAGCTTGGATAAGCTAGCAGCAACCATCCCTGGCTTTAAGTTTGACCTACGATCGACTTTCTCATGGGCCCCCTACTTCATCCAGCGGGAAGACGAACTTGTTCAACTTGTGGCCAAGCACGCAGCTCGGACGACAGGGGAGACTCCTCAAATAAAAGGTGAAACTTATTGGACAGACATGGCATTACTGGGAGAGGCAGGTATTTCAGGATTGATCTGGGGCCCGAAGGGGCATGGGCTGCATGCCAAAACTGAGTGGGTTGAGGTCGAGTCAGTACGACAACTTGCGGAGTCGTTTGTGGCAGTTGTAGGAGGCTTTTGTAAATAGATAGAATATGATACTCAGCAGAATGTTACTGTATTATTTCTAATGTCGCCGCTCCTTTTCTACGAGGCATACACCACAGAAAAAGATAGCTTAAACATTGATTTCCTAGGGTTTTCGGGATGTTTCATCGGCGTGAGTGTTGATCATCATTATCAGGTCTCAATCTGATGATATTCTCCATTGGAAAACAATAGTAAAAGGCGTTGGATTTGGCTTATTTCCTAGTATATTTTAAGCGGCAGGCTGGTAGGTACTAAAGTCATATTCAACATCGTAATCCTCCGCATCAATATCACCATCGGAAAGCTCGACATCCTGCAGATTTTCGCCATCATCTTCTTCCTCCTCAGTGAACCCATAGTCCTTCTTTTGGATTTTCTTCCAGGCGGCGATTGTTTGCTTTCGTGTGAGGTAGAATGGGAGCTTGGAGAGTGGAACGCAGCCAGTATCTGTCACCTCAACTGTCTGTCCAATAGAACTGGCGGTATCGGTGGCCATATCCACAGAATAATGTGAATAAAGAATACCATTCCTTTCTGTGCAATGACTGTTTGACCTGGCACAAACATAGGGTAGTCCATCCATGTGGGGGCAAAGGTTGCACCCATGCTATACCCGCATGCATCAAACCTCTGCTCACGGAAACCATTCTCATCAGCCACCCGAGCGTAAGCCTCAGCAACCTTTCCAATTGGTCTCCCGGGCTTTAGAGCTTCCATGGCAGCTTTCATCTGCAATACGTTGACCTCATGCATACGCCTGGCTAGTTTTGTAATACCGCCAATTGGGATGGTTCGCATTAAACAGGCATGGTAGTGTTTGTATACACCAGCATGTTCCAATGTGACCTGTCGTTCGATTCTTGATTTGCCGGTGGAATATCGAGTCAGGACTCCTTTGTTTCCAGAAATAAGGATATTCTCGTTTGCTGGATCGTCACCACCACCTTCATAAACAGTGCCTACAATTTCCCTCCACAGGCCCCCCTCATAGGCTCCAGGCTTTGCTAGCTTTAGAGCGCGGACAACAGCAAAGTCAGCCAGATAAGCGGCTTTGCGAATTTTGTTCATCTCAGTTGGAGATTTGATAATGCGCAGCTCCTGGCCGAACAAGTTGCTGTGGTCAACCAGGGTGCACAGACCCTCTACAGCTTCCAGAAGCAGCTTTCCGATTCGAAGGTTCAGAGTGCAGGAGTCAGGTTCGTAGCCGATTCTTTTCGCTGGCGAGTTGATGCCAAACTCTTTCAGCACCTCAGGGACCAAAGAAACTGGGTTGCTGCTGGCGGCGTCGCTTCGGATAAGAATATCTTCCCGCTTCAAGACTGAAGTATAGAGTGCCTGGCGGAGGTCAGGGAGACGTGTGATTAAGCGCATTCTACCATCGTTATGGAAGTACATCGCCTGGAAAAAGACGTAACCAAAGGTGTCGAATCCAGTGAAGTAGTAAAGAGACTCTTGCTTGGTCATGATGAAGCCATCAAGCTTCTCTCGCTTCATGATTTCCAACGCGCGGTTCCGCCGTCCCTGTAACTCCTCCTCAGAGAAGTGGAGGGCCTTCTTGAAGGCTGGGAGTTGTTTGAGGTTGGCCATTTTCGAGCTAAATTGTGATTCTTGAGTTGAGGAATAAGGACGATTGTTTACAAGCAGAAAAAAGGCATTGTTCGTTTGACGTCCCCGAAAAATGGAAGGAAATGAAGCATTTGAACGGTTTTATAGAAAAAGGAATCCTTGGGGAGCCAGGGGATCGAGCGAACTGGGACCAAACCGATGCTGCTGTGGCCCTATTGCGAATGTGAGTGCATCCACCAGCTCACGGGGCCAACCTGGTGAGAAAGCCGCCAGATACGACGAAGACAAGCGTTTGGTCAGAGACTCAGGGGCTGAGCGATTCCCAGTTTCCACAATATTGCCCCGCGCACCATGGCCGTCTGGCCCTGCGGGTTAAGTTGAACATCGGCATATTGTGGATTAGCTACTGTCGTTAGAATATGCTTTAAGCGGTCTCAAATGGGCATATAGTGGAAGAAATACAGGAGGAATGCGGAAGGGCGAGTACGGCGGGCAATCAGAGCATGCTCTCTCAGATACGATTGTATAGCTCTGCGGGGTGGGTGGGATCAGTGCGTCCTGATTATTGTGGGGGAATTCCTCCAAAAGTTATGACGATGGGCTGGAGATGCAGTGGAGACGTTGCAACGGAATGCCCGGTTGTGTTCTCTTGTATTCTCGGCGGAACTGGCGGGTACCTTGGTGTGCCATATTATTGTATGATTTGATTGCCGTCTGTCCAGGCAGCTGAAAGGTTTCGTTGAATGGTTGGGACTCCAAGTTATCCAAGTGGCCTGGAGCTTCCTTGGGCCCAATGCCAATCCAACTCCAGCAACACGGCCTTCCAACTAGCTCCCTGATCACATCACCAGGGGTTAAAAAAAAGAAAAGGAAGAAAAAGAAAAAGAAAAAGAAAAAGAAAAATCGTTGTACTCCTCACACCCTGACAAAGCCTCGACAGCCCTCTAAATCCCCAGCTCCAAAACACCATGCACGCTTTCTAGCTCGAGGGGATGCCACTACACACTACGATGACACGCAAGGCTTTCAAATTTGTTTCATTTAAAAAATAAAAAATAAAAATAAAAAAATATGGCAACGCAGTGTAGTAGTACCTCCTAGTATATAAACACAATACAGCTAGAGCCTGGAACCAGTTTCTATTAATAGTAACTGTCGCGCGAAACCCAGACGCGCAGAATTCAACCAAAATTTACTCCTGCAGGTAAATCACGGCGTCGTCCTAGAACATCCCGTCTCTCACAGCTTTGAGACAACGGTAAGAGTTCCTGTCTTCTGGATCAAATACTCATCAATGGCAACGTCTTTGCCGGCTTCTTTGCCGTAGCCAGATTCCTTGATCCCTCCAAACGGGGATTCTGCAGCGGAGGCATTACCTAAATAAAATGTCAGATGCGGACTCTCGAGAGGAAGAGCAAAAAGAGGAGATGCCGAACCTGTATTCATGCCAATCATACCAGCTTCAAGGCTCTCGAGCAGTCGCCAGGAACGGTTGACGTCGCTGGTGAAAAAATAGGATGCGAGTCCCATGGATGTATTATTTGCTGCTTGAACAACCTCCTCCTCAGTTTCAAACCTGTAGAGTCCTAGGAGAGGACCGAAAATTTCCTCATAAGTCGTCAGCATGGAGGAGGTCATCTCTGAGATAATTGTAGGCTCGAAGAAATAGCCCCCAAGGTTACTGGGGCGTTTCCCACCACATAACACTCTACCCCCTTTGGAGACAGCATCAGCGACGTGTCTCTCCAACTTCTCGATACCTCGGGGGGTTGTGATTGCGCCCATTGTGGTAGAGGAGTTAGCACCATGGCCAACGCGAAGCTTCTGCGTCGCCTTGAGCGTCTTCTGCGCAAACTTGTCATACACCCCACTCTGGACATAGACTCTGTTTGCATGCGTGCAAGCCTGTCCAGCGGTGCGCCACTTAAGTATCATGAGTGCAGCAACTGCTTGGTCGAGGTCCGCGTCATTGAAGACAATGAATGGACAATTGCCGCCAAGCTCAAGTGTTACCTTTTTCAATCCATCAGAACAGTGGCGGGCCACAATTCTTCCCACAGCAGTGCTTCCAGTGAAAGTTACTTTGCGTACGAGAGGGTGCTTGCAAAGAGCCTCACTGACTGAATGCGTATTAGTGTTGTCGGTCGTGATGACATTCAGAACCCCGGAGGGAAAGCCAGCACGTAGAGCTAGGTCTGCCAGGGCCAGGACACTGAGGGGAGTCTCCGGAGATGGCTTGACGATCATAGAGCAGCCAGCTGCCAGAGCAGCCGCAACTTTACGAATGATCATGGCGACGGGGAAGTTCCACGGTACCAACGCAACGCTGACTCCAATGGGCTGCTTGACTACGAAGGTTCGGCGCTCAGAGACGGATGGAATGGCGATGGAGCCTCGAATCCGTTCTGCTTCACCAGCAAACCACCAGGCAAAGCCAAGTGCATAATCGACCTCTCCGCGTGCCTCCGTAATTGGTTTGCCGGTTTCGTACACAACTAGCCGTGCAATGTCCTCGCGACTATTTGTTATCAGATCGTACCACTTTAGAAGCATTTTCGCTCGTTGGCGTGGGTTTACATGGCGATATTTGAGGAACGCGGTGTGTGACGTCGTGACGTATTCGTGCACGTCTTCAACCTTGTTGGCTGGGCATGTAGCGAAGATTTGTCTGCTCCCAGGATCTGATTAACACTCAGCAAAATATATACTTTCATCGCTAGTACATCGAGCAAAAATGGCTTGCAGGGTGCATTGTTCACCTTCGACTTCAAAAGTCTCCCGTGCTCCTGATTGGACCCATTTGCCGTTAAGCAATGAGCTTTCATGGAAAAGGGCCCGATCGTCTAACTACAAAATTTGTTAATATTCATCCGTGTCGCAAGAAGAACCTCAATGTGTCTTGACTCACTTGGAAGAGCAATTGGTGAGGCATGATAATGTCTTAACAAGGCTTTATCTCTTGCAGAATATAGATAGGGATGTGTCCAAGCTGTTGCAAGGTTTTGCTCCGAGGTGCTAAATAACTATCAACAAGCCTTCATGGGAGATGTTCAACGCGATGTTCAGAGAACTTCGGCTTCTTTTTATGTCGTCCACTCATTATCATTGTTCTCTCGCTCCGGTTCTTCCCAGGCTTTGACCGTCCCCAGGAACATGGTTTTGAGAAGTCTGGGATTGCTCTGGGCAGTTCGTTGGGACGCGGAGCCCAGAAGCTGTCCGGGTCGATGATTGCCCGCCCGTTACGCTGCAAAAAGTGGGGTGTCCTTCGCTCCTCTTGGCCTTTTCCTTTAAAGGTGCGATTTACATCTCCCCATTGCCAGTGGCGGAGAGCAGGATGGTCGAGACTTGTTGTCAATGTTGAGTCATGCCTTTAAAGGAGATCCGGGATGCATGGCGGCGCCCTTCGAAAATTTTCCCTTGAGCAAGTGATGGGACCGAAGATACACAACTCGAGGATATGATCACAAACTTGATCATGGCACCTCTTCCAACTTAAGCCTTTGGAGGTAAGTCTATCCCGAGTCATGCTGCTCGTGGCGCCGAATTTCGATTTTGATTTTGAATTTCTGTTGGCAATCGCCTAGTTTCGGGAGGATTTCTATTTAAATATGCCGAGTTGTAGAAACTAACCTGGCTTCTTTCTCAGCAGTTAGAAAATGGGAAAATATATAAAAGCTTCAGTCTCTTGGTTTCAGGCTGTCCTCTGATCTTCGCATCGAGTGTCTTCTATATTTCATTCAGAGATTCGATCTCGTTCTAGATACTGGTATTTCTCAGCAACAATGACTGCCAAAACTCCCCATCCGTTTGACCCTCTTACCCCCGAAGAAATTTCCAGAGTGCGTTAACCCGATGTTCCCTTTTACACTGTCTGTCTACCCCATTACTTAGAAAGAATCCATCGCAGGCTGGACGAATCGTTCTTCCGCACTTTGGCGGGCAGGATCCCAATTTTCGGGTCATCACGTTGCAGGAGCCGCCCAAAACACAGATGATACAGTATCTCGAGAAAGAGCATCGCAAGCAGACCATAGGAGAGGTTCCCACTCGTTCTGCACGTGTTGAGGTTGTGGTGAAAGGCCACAATGACACCAACGAGCTCTTCGAACTCTTTGTTGATCTCGACAATGATATAGTATCCCACAAGCAGCATCGCAAGGGAAAACATTCCTACATCGATGCGGACTATATGAAATCAGTTGAGGCTGCTTGTCTAGCCAATGACGAAGTGCAGGTCGAGATACGCTCCCTTGATCTTCCTCCAGGATCAACTGTTGTGGTGGAACCTTGGGCTTATGCCACAGACGGCATGAATGACATGACCCAGCGAGTCTCCATGGTATGTTTATTGTTCATGTACCTGCACTGAGTTACACCCTGCTCTCTCTTTTCCTGCTAAAAAATCATTCAGTGTTGGTTCTATCTCCGGTTTGAAGATAATCCAAATGCCAATTACTACTCATACCCTCTCGACATATGTGCAGAGGTCTCGGAGTCCCTCCAGGTCACCAAGGTATATCGCTTGCCGACAAAACCACACGGAAGAATCAATAATGAGCAGAAGCCCTTCGATCGCCGGAAAATTCGACCGACAGCAGCTACAGAGTACCACCCTGACTTGAGACCAAGCCCAAGGTCGACTACCAAACCTTACCAGGTTGTTCAGCCAGAGGGCCCATCATTCCGTATCGGTGGAAATCACGTAGAGTGGGAGAAATGGAGCTTTAGAGTAGGCTTCAACTACCGGGAAGGATTGACATTGCACGACATTCGCTACGATGGCCGGAGCTTGTTTTACAGGCTTTCGCTTGCGGAGATGTTTGTACCTTACGGTGATCCACGGGCTCCCTACCCTCGCAAGGCGGCATTTGACCTCGGAAATGATGGTGCAGGAATCAATGCCAATAATCTACAGCTTGGCTGTGACTGCCTAGGTAAGTACAAGCTAACTTCCTACTGTGCTTATCATTTTACCTTGGACTCTTATGCTAACCCGAGTGCACGTTTCAAAGGGACCATCAAGTATTTTGACGGCTACCATAACACGCCCTCTGGGAAGCCTTTGAAAATGCCAAACGTAGTGTGTTGCCATGAACAAGATGACGGCATCCTGTGGAAACATACCAATTTCCGCACTCAAGTTCCTGTGGTGGCTCGCTCTCGTATTCTCGTTTTACAGACTATCATTACAGTGAGCAACTACGAGTACATCCTTGCCTTCCATTTTTACCAAGATGCGTCGATTTTTTACGAAGTCCGTGCCACTGGTATCCTATCCACCGTTCCCGCCGACCTAGACACGAAGGCCAAATTTCCTTACGGCACCACTGTGGCACCAGGGGTTCTAGCGCCATATCACCAGCATCTCTTCAGCCTGCGCATAGACCCAGCGATCGATGGCTATTCCAATTCCCTGGTCGTTGAAGAGTCAAAGGCCCTTCCTGTGGGAGATCCTTCAGTCCACAACCCATTCGGTGTAGGCTATACCACCAACAGTCAAGCTGTCGAGGAAGAAGGGGGTTTTGACCTTGATTTCACTAAGAACCGGACCTTCAAGTTCCTCAACGAGAGCAAGATCAACCCTGTAACGGGTACGCCGGTTGGATTCAAGCTTCTCCCTGCTTACAGTCAAATGCTCCTCGCCAATTCCGAGTCATACCATGCGAAGCGCTCAGAGTTCACTAAGCATGCCATTTGGGTAACTCGCTACGAAGACGGGGACCACTTCCCCGCGGGCCGATATACCATGCAATCTACTGGCGGTGACGGTATCGCTTCTGTAATTGCCAAGCGAAAAGAGTCAAAAGCGGCCCAGTCAGTCAGAGATCAGGATATAGTCATCTGGCACACATTCGGAGCTACCCACAACCCTCGCATTGAGGATTGGCCGGTTATGCCGAGCGAGAAGCTCGTGGTTGGGCTCAAACCCGTCAACTTCTTTTCTTGCAATCCAGGCTTGGATGTAGCTCCCTCAACTCAAGAGAAGAACAAGAGTGTTTTGTACACTGGGGATGAATCCGAGCCAGCATCATGTTGTCACTCAAAGCTATAGTTCTTTTCTTGAAATCACTTCCTCGTTAAGAATAGACAAAAACACAATTGCTCATAATGCAAGAATAGACTAAATGGCATTATTGTTATTAACGTATTAGCCAGGAAGCAATAGTTTAATATATTATAAATCCATTGAAGTGCAACCCGCGTAGTAAATAATGTCGTCAATAGATTAAGAGGTCAGATTTGACGAGCAGCCGTTAAATACACGTGCTCTGGCTGCGAGTTTGGCGGAACCGAGAAAAGCTCGATGTCCATGGCAACATAATCATACCACATAACACCGCCAAAAAACAACATCGAGGTGTAGGAGGCACGCAACCCAACCCAACCCAGGAACAATATTGTATTGGTTTTTAACTGCGAGTCATTACCCTAGATTTGGTTTTCCATCAAAGGTAAGCAAGCTTGCGTTGGGTCTCAGATATCTCAGCAGCCAGACTTCGTGGCTTAAATATATAGCCCAAGGAGCAACCTTTTAGCCCTCCCCACCCAATGCCAACGGACATCAATAATATAGGTGCGATCGCAGCTAACAGGAAACATAGCTCTGCCTCTCACAATCACAACAGTCAGCGATTCCTGACAATCTGACATTGAGGCCGTTGACTAAAGTCATTGGCAAGAAATCCATCCCCGCATTTTTGGAATTTCGCCGTTACCGAGGGCGTCTTTAAATAGGTGGCCAGGTATAGAGTTCTCCCCGGTTCCCTGATTCCTCCTCAATATTGTCGTATTTCTCATGGACTCGACTATCTAATCCTTTACGCTTGAAATTTATATACAGGAGCACGAGCATGTCGGTATCCTGAAGCACTCTCTTCCAAAAGCTCTCTCTATCTTCGGTATCACCCTTCGCTATGGCGGAAATACTGTCGCGTTTGCTCTCCTTCCCACCAGTGTCTCCACGTACTGTATCTCAAATATCCGACGTTGAGTACGACAAAGAGATACGCACTTTATATTCAGACCTGAAGCGAATACCTGCGCATAAATTAGTTGCAGACATTCCTGGGAGAGGAAGTTTGTTGGAGGTTCGGTCTCTCCCTTCCCTGGCTGCACGGTTGAATAACATAATAACATAATCTGACGATCTGGCTGATGAATTGCTGTTGACAGCTTCTGGATCCGGGACTCCAAACTCTGGCCTACCTCTTCGTCATACTATCATATTACCAAGTTTCGCACGAGAATACGAAAGAATCATTCCCAGCCACTTGGCTGCCAGGAGGTGAAATCTGGTTAAAGTCAGTAGCATTCTTAAAGGTGTTTGACCCGATCCAAGTGAGATATGCCGGTCAAGAATGGAGAAGTCTTGTTGATGTGGTAGTAAAATCGGCTGAGATCGCTTCACGAGTGAGACCCCCCACTCCTACTTTTTCATAGAGCTTAAACTTGTTAATATCTTGAAGCCGTTGCTAGCTCTTCATCCTTTAAAAACCGCTATACTCCGCCTCGATCCTTCGTCTTCAACATTCACTTCGTCGCATACAACATTCGTACGGTTGTGTCTTCAGTCAAGGTCTTATCTAAATGCATTGGATATCCTCGACAAGCCTATTTGCCATTTCCCAACCACATCCGATAAGCAGTTCATTAAAAGGTCACAACTTCTTCTGTGTCAGCAACATGAATCGAGCACGTCCTTTATCACAGCTGCATCCGGGTTGCCCGGCAAAATAAACCACAGGTCCTATCTGGAGTACTTTCTGTACGGCGCCATGGTCTACATGGGGCTCAAGAAATGGGACGATGCCATTCATTTTCTCGAAATCGTGATTTCTGCGCCCACAACAAACTCAGTGAGCATTATCATGGTAGAAGCTTACAAAAAATGGGTCTTAGTGTGTCTTATAGAAAAGGGAAAGGTAAATAATTGAAAAATAATTTTTGATATTCGATCTGCTAATTATTTGACCTAACCATAGCCTCTACCTATGCCAAAAACAGTGACACCTTTTACAGCAAAGGCATATAGGTCACTAGCGAAACCTTACGAAGCTCTCGCTGACATCTTTAAATCTGGAAACGTGTCAAGATTGCTGGCAGAGATTGCCGCTGGGGAGGCTGTTTGGCTCAATGTAAGTGATAATTCGCATACCCACACCGGAATATATGAAGCACGATAGATTTTTAACTGATGTCTCATCAATTCTTTTTCGTTCCCCTTACCAGGATAACAACATGGGTTTGGTCTCACAAGTATTGGTTGCATATCAGCGATTTTCTATCGTGAAACTCGAGAAAACTTTCGCCGCATTATCAATACCCGATATAGCTTCATATTTAGGACCTGACGCCCAAACGACTGATATCTCTATAGCTGACTTGATTACTGCGGGACAGCTGCGGGCATCGTTAATACACGCTTCGGACTCTTCGACGCCCACCGTGCTTCGTTTTACTTCATCAACTGCTAACTTGGGTCATCTGTTAGAAGTGAAATTTAGCGCTGATTTAGTAACACAAAGAAGCCGATTAGAAACGCTTCTGAAGAACGTGCGTGGAACCGATATCAAATTGGAATTGGGCCGTGAGTATATAGAAAGCTTGCGGAAAGCACCGAGACCTTCAGACGTCGAAAGTAGGGATAGGTCCACGGCCGGGGTTTCCAATGGCGAGATGGACGAAGATGTGATGGGGGACTTTGAATAGAAACGAACCAATGACATTCGCAACGTTTGGCTGGTGACAACGATAGATTTTGTACTTAACGATATCGACGAATGATCTAATTATGATACTGCTCGGGTGCTGAATTAGACACGTATGACGACCAGCGCTGGTCTGCATGTGCGTCCTCCTAGACGACAATATTATCGCTTTCGTAAATGCTCGACGGTTCTTTCTCTACGGCGCTTCAGTAATCACTATACTGGAGGATAAATGTGGTATGATATATATATGTATGATTGCATCACGTTATTGGGGCGATAGAACAACCCAGACCCAAAAGCAAAGAAGAAAAATCTCCGAACCCGTTAAGCAGGATAGTAATTTGTCCACGGATGACTTTATAACAAAAGCGGATATCGGGTTAAATGATAGTTTATGTAATACAATAATGGAAAAAGCAGGAACTTTCAAAAGGTACAATTTTTGACCACTTTGGAAGAGTAACAAGCTCAAAACGTGATCCTGGGATCAGAATATCAAGCAAGAAAAGCATATAAAATGCGAACAGAGAAAAAAAAAAAAAAAAAAAAAAAAAAAAAGAAAAAAAAGAAAAAAAAGAAACGAAAAAGACGTCAGGCTGATGGAATTCAAAAAAGATAACCGGACCGTCCATCCGCCTGTGAATTTTTAAAGAAAAAGGCAAACAAAATGACACTTCATCTTCAAGTTATTTAGCTGCTAGCCGCGTTTCATGCTGTTGTCGATTCAGCTGACTCCTTTTGAGCTTCAACGTTGGGGATAGACGCGGCGGTTCCAGATAGGTCGGTAGAACGAGCTTTCGGATTCTTCGTATAATAGTTTGAGATGGCGGATTTAATTGCATCTTCAGCAAGCATGGAGCAATGAACTGCATTGGAAACAGAATATTAGCTCACTGGATCAGGTCCAACGTGGATAAAACATTCGTAACTTACGCTTTACGGGTGGCAAACATAGCTCCTTTGCAATCTCAGTATTCCGGATCTTTCCAGCTTCCTCCAACGTCATCCCCCTCACCAACTCGGTCAGGTAACTGGAGCTGGCGATGGCGCTGCCGCATCCAAATGTCTTAAATTTAACATCACTGATGGTATTGCTGCCCTTGTCGACACGAATCTGCAACTTCATGACATCTCCACAAGCTGGTGCACCAACAAGCCCCGTACCGACATCCACATCTGCCTTTGGCATCGAGCCTACATTCCGGGGATTGCTATAATGATCTAGCAGTGCACAAAAAGGTTAGCATGATGATCATGAAATTAGGCTCCAAATATAAAAGAGCCAACTATAAAGTACAACAAAGAATGAAAGATGATCAAACATATCTTTTTCATGATAGCCTCGGGCGGATGGGACGGCAATTCGGGCGAGATTATGACTATTTAGGCTGGAAACTGACGGACGGCCGGCGGCCTGTGGCAGGGTTGACAGAGCGGACGTCCGCGGGACAAGAGTGAGCAATCGTCTGAACATCGTGATTGAAATATGTAGATAGAAAATCCGACAAGTACGTGGCCTCGATGTCGCGGGTTTTATGAAGTCGGGTATTGAAGCTCGTAGAATCTGCAAGTATTTCAGTTCGTGTCGAAGGCGGGACAAGGGAAGATGCAGAATGATGGATTCGGCTGATTGATAAGACAAGCGGAGACTCGAAATTTTTGCCATGGGATAACTATTACATAAGTGCTTATTAATCATGTTCTAGGGGCGAATGCGGAGCAATTTCACTTCAGCTTCCAAGTTGGAACAAGCAGGGCAAGCGGATTTCTTCTCCATCGTGGAATTCTTGGAAGCCAAACGCCAACATCATGATAAGAAATGACATTTTACATGAGAAGTCCAACGCCACTGAAAACGAGTTATCTCCTCGTTTTAAAAACAGCAAACACAGATAAAAGCCAGCGCGGCCGTAACAGTGATGGGAATATGACATAGTAAGAAATTTGAAGCAGGTCAAATACTTCTACGCTGTATGTAATCCGACCAAGGAGAACTCGTGATACCGGTATATAATTACACCACAACCCATTCACTTCCTCGTTTAATAAACTTATCAATCATCAAACCTATATCATTGAGAGCGAATCGACAAACGTAAAATCCAAAAAACTCAGAGGCATGTCGAGCGCTAAGCTCAAGCCCAACAAGCGTCTGAGATGAATGCTTCAAACCAGGGTCTTCGACTTGCCGAGCAATTTGATCTGAATTTACCTGTTAACGTTCATAGACTCTCGCTGAGGCCAGAGACAGGAAGATGGGATGAACATGTCAAGGTTATCAGGCAAAGAGATTGCTTACCAAGGATCTGAGCAGCATCGAATAGCCTGGCCAGAGCACTCATGTAGCTCGCATGAGGACCCGTACACTGTAACTGAGTTACATCTCTCTTTGGTGCACGAAAGTCAAGGCTATCCGTCATCGGTAACGAATTCATGGTAAGTGCATCTCTCCCTCCATCCTTCGGTGCAGGAGCTGGTTGGGTAGGGGCGCCCGTTCCAGAGCTCTTCGATTTTAATTTTCGCCAGGACGCTAGGTACGACTTGCTTGAACCACTTGAAGGCTTTGCTGCGACATTGTCATAAATGGTGGAGGTATCTTCTCCGGATGATTTAAAAAGAGGCATTGATCCTTGGACACCAACGTCATTGCCTAGCTTTTTTGACCATATATTCTGGACTTGATCGAGGACATTTTCCAATGACTGCATTTCTTCGAGTACCGCTTCAGCATCATAGCTATCCGCCTGGGCGAGTTTCAGCAGGGCGGCCGTTAAAAGATCGCAACTTGATATTTTCTCCTCCACAGCTTTTAATTTCACATTCTGAACGCGCCACACATCCCTTGGAACAAAGAGCTTAGCTGTAAGATACCCACCACGGGGGTGGGCAATGGTCTGATACAAACACCTCATTAGCCAGAATGGCCGAAGGAGAAACGACTGCGGGCAGGGTTCCAGAGGCAGAGGAGCATTCGACACGGATGCGTTGGGGGAACCCAGGTTTGTAAGTGAGTGAATATGGCTATCGAAAATATAGGGTCCTCCGGCATGAAAACCGTGGGCAGTAAATGCAGTAGTGGTAGGGGTGAGTGAAGACGGGAGTGAAGGACTGCTCCCTTTCCTCGCCTCTAGGTTTGCGAAACTGGCACTGGACGGCGTGCCTGGTGTCTGTGAAACGATATCTGGTGTTGACACAGACATACCTCTAGCTTTCATTGCCCTGAGACTCGAGGAAGATATGTTCTTTCTAAGATTTTCAGGGGCTGATGAAACTTTTGCGACTATATGTGACGGGGATGGTAGAGAACCGGAGTCATCTATCTCTTGGGGCTGCAATTTAATTGTGAGTGAGTCGGTATGAACAGATTCAATGGGCTCTGAGGCTGTGGCAATGGCATGTATAGGATTATTTGGTGTACTCGTTTTGACCTTAGAAGGTGCATCGTGAGAACTTGGTGTTTGTACACTAGCCTGAGCCTCGGTTTTCGGGACTGATGAGGATATGTGAGGAGAGGCCGTGGAAACAGGGTCCGCCTGTGACCCGTTCGTTTCAATGGATAGCTCCTTCGGGTTCAGGCCGTCCACTCGTCTACCATTCAAACTTGTTGGCTTAGTTGATATCACCTGGGCCGAACTTGAAACTGAAGGTACGGATGGCATGGATGGCGGCAAGGGAGGTAACGATGGCATTGACGATGATACTGGTGGAGGTGGTAACGCAGAAATAGGGGGCGGATGGGGAGGCGATGAGGCCGTCTTTACCCTCGCATCCAATGACTGAAATTCAACACCTTCGGCAAGGGTGGAAAGTGAATTGCCAGAGGTAGTTACGTTTGATCCAACAGAGCTTCCCCAAGTCCTACCAGAAAATCCACTTGAGTCGGACTGCCGCGGAAGAGCAGACTTTGATTGCAAGTCAAACTCAAAGTCGGCCATCATCTCCTCCAAAATGCGCTCTTCCTCCTCATCTTCTACGTCTTCATCATATCCTCCAGTAACTGCCCCAAAATTCAATAGCACATCATCGCCATTCAACATGCGTTTGTCTTTGTTTCTGGCTAACGCGGCTTCAGATTCTATCTGAGCCTCCCGGACCTTCTGTTTCGCTAACTCAACACTCCTCCTTGCATCAGATACGATATCATCAGGGATAATGCTATCTGTCCCGCGTACTGGCTCAAATCCTTCATCATAGGCTGCTTCCACCGCGGCATCCAAAGCAGTGTCAAATTCAGCTTCAGTACCCTCGCTAGCATTGCGACCGTGTTTCGGACGGAGGTAGAGCAAGGATGATCTCGATCGGATTGAGGAACTTGATGACGCCCCAGACTCATCAATAGTGTCGAGCCAGGAGGTTGATTCGTTGCTTGCGTCATGGGAATGCTGATTCGGCAGAGGCGGAAGAGGGTTTGAGGTTTGCAACTGACTCGACGCTTGCTTGGTGAGATCCGATGGTGGGGAATACGTCATTGGTGATGAAGGCCTCCTTCCTGTCGCTGTGGGATCCCACCGTGCTTGTTTCAATCTTTCACTGGAACCATTCGGTTTTATATGAGGGTCTTTTTCTAAAGGACTTAGACTGTGAACGCTCATGTGACGGTCCAGGATTTGAGACTGAATTTGCAAGTCTAACATCGTCATCAAATACAGATGGTAGTAGGGACTGGCGTCTTGGAGGTATTTGTGAGGGGGCCAAGCTGCGCTGCTCTCGGGGGCTGACGAAATAGGGGCTGTCATTGGTGACGAAGCTTGGTCCTGCCGGCATGGATGTATCATGATACTCTATCCCAGCCGTTGGATACGATGGGAAAACAACGTCAGACGGCGATTCCGCGCCTTGTGGGGGGTCAGGTAAAGCCTTCCCATCGGCGCGCTGAGATGATAGACCAAGCCTTTGGAGCTCGGCTATCCGACTCGTATACGTATTCCGCTAGGTGGCCCTTATGTTAGTAATTGAACCCATGAATAGACCCTTAGACAAACACAAAAGACAACCACAATAACAATTAATATAAAATGGACATAGAGGGGCCCCACGTACAATCTCCTCTAACTTCTGTTTCTCATCATGACCGCCGCTGTGATGCATCACATGCTGCAGGAGCTGGCAAGCATCATTGTAAGCATCGATGGCTCCCTCGTAGTTCGTAGCATTATCGAGGAGGACAGCGGCGTTGGCCTTCTGTAAAGCTTTGGAAAGCATTGTTTTTTGAGACGGTCCTCGAATTTCGCGGTCTTGTAGTGGTTCTCTGTTCATTGAGATAGGAACCCCCGATCTAGGTCAGGGCCACCACGTGGGGTACGAGAGAGGAGATAAGAGTTAAGAAGTTTGGCGCAGAGTTGAGCCCAGAAGCATTAGCCTGCAAAGCAACTTCAACCTCGTCTGAAGGAGCATAAAGACGGTCCACCTTGCGGAAAACTCCTTTTGTGCCGGGAGAGGAGGCCGGTCCTCTTCAGCGACTCTCGCTGGGGGGCGCCCTGGAGGGATTCAGAGGTAACGTGGTAGATATCCAATCGCAGGTAATCAACGGACGAGTCAATGGCAAATCACAAGCCGAGGGAAATATTTGCCGGGAAGGCTGCACGTCTGGATAGTGGTAAGCGGTGTAAGACAAGGGACACGATAGGTGGGTTTGATCGAAGCGCAGTTCGGTGACAGCTGAGAATTCTCATGGGGAACAATGGCTCGAAGGCTCATTATTTGGCAGGACGGGAAATCATTGTTGAGTGGGGGGAAAGACGGGGAAAGACGACGTCAAAGCTAGGCCTTTCAGAAAGGCTGGTAATGGCGGGCGGTGGATGGGTTGTTGCGGGCTGACGAAACTTCGATGATAGGATAGGTGATTAATGTGGTTATGATCGATGTCTGGGCGATCATGTACATGTACATGTAAATGTAACAGGACAAAACTAACTAGTACTTTAGTCGCATTTTTTGCAAAAAGCCTCCCCTGAGAACGGGTATTTAAAATCCTGTACGGACGACAGCACGGAGGACTGTACATTTTAAATAGCCAGAGGCTGTTGGGGGAGGGAGGAGGTATTGAGATATTTTTCCAAACGAATGCAGTTGGACACACCTAGTTACGCATCTCATCTCAATTCTGACAATCATGCTGGAGGCCGAACTTGGGCGGGAGAAGGGCCACCAACAATTTCTCGTCACGTTTTACAGTTATTTTGACACAGAAAAATTGAAAAAATTAACACACACACTCACACATAATACTACACTGCCAATGGGAATAAACACCGTAAAATTATCTCAAAAAGAAGAAAGAAGAAAGAAGAAAAGAAGAAAAGAGGACGAGGAGAGAAGGACACGCTTATCTTCTGGTCAGCAGTCCAGGTACAATTACCCTCCTCCTAAACCATTCTCTCGATTTACTTCATAAATGAACTTGAGTAACAATAACAAGCCATCAGTCGAGTATATTCATTGTGTCTGGTCCTGGGAAAAGGAGGTAGGTTCAATGTGTTGTATATGGGTTTCTCTCTCGCCGTGATCATATTCTATTTGCTCACTGTGCTTAGCTACAGCTTGGACAGGTATTGCTACTAGCAGTGTCATCGGCATATGATGATATTGTAAAACAATACTTCAGCTAACTTTGCATGGCTTCTTTTGCATTTATCACATGTTGAAAAGTATAACTTGTTACACACCTGTTTTTATTTACAATGCCGTTTTAACAGCACGGGGTGGGATTAAAAAAAAGAAAGAAAAAAAAAGAAAAAAAAAAAAAAAAAAAAAAAAAAAAAAAAGATAAAGAGGCATTGGCTCCTTCTGCTTATTCTTTGATATTCGCGAAGTATGCTATTTACTTTCGGTACCACATCCGAGTAATCCTAGTGTGCCGCATCTTCTTCTGCAGCTGGAAAATACCATACATAAGGGCTTCTGAGGTTGGAGGGCCTAGAAAACATAGTTGTTAACAGGCGCTATTGTCAGCTGAAATCATAAGATATAACACTCACATCCGGGAACATAGATGTCCACTGGTACTATCCTATCACAGCCTCTTGTGACCGAGTAGCTATAATGGTAGTAGCCACCGCCATTGGCACAGCTTCCCATGCTGATAACCCACCGAGGATCAGGCATTTGGTCATAAACCTGTCTTAATGCGGGTGCCATTTTGTTGGTCAACGTTCCGGCAACGATCATCACGTCCGATTGTCGCGGAGACGCTCTAAAAATAATACCCAGGCGGTCCTGATCGTAGCGGGGAGTCGACAAATGCATCATCTCCACGGCACAGCAGGCTAACCCGAATGTCATGGGCCACAAGGAGCTCTGTCTTGCCCAGTTTGTGACTTGGTCAAGTGTTGTCCTGTTGGTATGGCGATTAGTCCACCTCTTGAGCAAAATCAGGGAGTAGCATCTGAGTAATCCGGCAGCCATACAGCGCAAATTGCATAGCCCCAACCTTCTTTTCCTGACTGGGCAAAGGTACTTCTATTCGCGGTTTTCCCGATGGCATAAGCCGATATTCATGTTTCTCGACTGCTGTAGAGGCATTGCGGATTGAAAGTAGGGCGCCGGGGGCTATCGACCGCTGCAAAAGCGGTAGCGGGATCGGAAAGGCAACTTCGCGCGGATGAAAATTAGCATCATATCCAGACATGTCCAGGCTTAGAGCTCTTACTATACGGTGCCACCCGCATTGGTGCCTGCCTTAAGGAAAGCATTGGGAAATTATTTGCCCTATGGATGAAGGTCGCGAGGGGTAGGTAGAGGTGATGCAGTTTGACCGTCGGAGGTGGGAGATTGGATGGGAAGTTTTGGAGCTGCTGTCCAAAATCTTGGAAATACACGCCATTTCATAACATACAATCAATACACACATATGCACTTGATACGTCTTGTACGGATGACGCCGTATTACATTACCGGAGTGGCGCAGAAACATTTCCATACAGTGCCAGGGCCATACAGCAAGTGGACAGTCTTTTGACAGTGCAAACCTTCATTATTGCCATCTTTCTCTATATAAATAGTAATCTGCTGGGTGTTCTGACATTACTTTTATTACTTATCTGTGATTTTTATGATGTTGATTATTATGTCACTTCAGCAGTTGTATGAAAAGCGGTACTAAGAAGATTGTGCTGCTCAGATTCAATTTATACAGCTAGCAAGCACAATATATAATTACACTGTACATTTACATAGATTTCTGTTTCAAACTTACTTTAAAGAATATCTGCTGATCAGACATATTTACTAAATTAATAAAATATTTAAAAATTCATTTAACTAGTTCTTCTATTTTTATTACTTTTTTATATTATTATTATTATTATTATTATTCTTTTATTATAAATATATACAGTTAGAGACTATAATATTTATTTAAAAACTTTTAATTCTCACAGTTTTTACAGTATACATCACCTGTAGTGTATGCCGATCACGTATTATACATGTAAAAAGGTAAATTGTAAGAAATCCCGCTTCTCGCGGATTCTTTACTTCTATTCCTATCTCTCATGTAATCAATAGAGCTAGCAGCCCTTGGCTACACATAACTATATAGACTGAAGTTTGTGAATACTATTCATAACTCAGCTTGAATACTATTATATATTTAATCTCTATATTTTATCTTTCTATTATGAATACTTCTAGTAGTTAATAGTATATATTACATCAAGCTGTAAATATCTGAATAATTATCTATAAGTACTTATTCTTACATTTCAAGCTCAGTCAGTCAGTAATTATCTATTATAACTAAAAGAACTAGAAACTTATATACTTTAATCTCTATAAACTCTACTATAGATACTCAGAAGTAGTTATCTGAATTATAAATAATCTTTATAGAAGAAGTCTCAGAGAATTTATTAATTATTTATAGAATATTATTCTCTATATCTGTAATAGAAGAACTCTCTGAATTTATAAATAAATTAATCTTAATAAAGAACATTCTTGAGTATCTCTTACAGAATTAAGCTATTTTTCTATAAAAAATATTTACTATCTGTAAACATTCTTAAACTAAGTCTCTAAATATAATTTTCAGAGATATCTATAAATTGAAAAGAAACTTTCTTAAGTTATAATTACTTAAGATTACTTATTAAATTATAATCTATAAAAACTTTTATAAGTTTGTATTTAAAATTAACTCATAAGCTCAGCTATATAATATAAAAGATAAAGAAGCTATTATCTATATAATAATAAATCTCTATTATACTGAAGTTAAGAACTGACTGAATTATTTAGAGAATAATTATAAGAGATTCTATTAATCTATTTTTAAAATCTATTTAAAGAATAAGTTAAGAGACTCTGTAAGCTGAATAAAGAATATCTGAATTATAATTATTAATATTAGAAAAAGAGATAAGAAATCTGATAAAGACTACTTATAATACTTTATAAAATTATAATATAAATTAAAATCTGTGAAAATAAAGCTCTGAAATAAGATCTGAATAATAATATTTATAAAGAGACTGAATAAAGATATATAAAATAAACTTATTAAATAAAACTCTAAGCTCTTAACTCTAAAGAAACTGATAACTTTTATTTATTACTTACAGATCACTGTAAGAGTTATAGATCTGTAAAAAATAAATTACTAATCAGTTTTATAAAGATTAAAATAACAGAGAATAAATTTATTAGAAAAAGATAATAAGATACAGAGAGATTTATATCTGACTACTAAGTAGAAAGAGAGAACTTTATAAGCTTCTATAAATAGAGTATATAATAGAAAGATTAAGAAAAAGAGACTTTATTTTATTTATTTTAAATCAGAATATCTTTATATAAACTGTCTAAATAAATTAAAATAAAAATTTAAGAAGTTATAGACAGAGTCAGTAACAGTCTTTTTAAAAGTTTTAAAACTGATATCTGAATCTGTTACTTCTCTGATAAAAATACTTACTTATAAAAAGAGACTGTACTATAGTACTACTACTCTATAAGTATAAGAAGTATTAATAAACTTAGAATTCTAGATTACTATAGTATTTCTAAGACTTACAGAGTAAATGAACTAAATAATAAAAACTGAGAATCTACTCTTATAATAAGCAGAATATAAGAACTCAGATCTGAGAGCTAAGAGACTTATAAAAGTTATCTTTGAATTATAAGATCTCTCTAAAATCTGAAGAAAATTTATAGAAACTGTAATTATCACAGATAATACAGATAATATATACTTAAAACTTATATAACTTCAATGATATAATTTATACATAGCTGTCTATAAGTCAGGTTTATACTTTTAATCAGTGTTAATAGACTCACTCACAGAGATAGAATTAGTTAATACTGTAGAGTTAATTAGAGAAGATAAGTTAATCTATATAATAACTTTATAAGTATCTGAGAATCTTATAATTATGAAAACTAAGCTTCAGATATCAGAGAAATACTGAAATCTTATAAAGATATTCAGCTTAGTAAAGATAGTTAAGCTTCTCTCTTACTATAAAAAGAATCTGATAATAGATTTAATAGAAGAATAGAAACTCTTCTAAGAATTAATCTATAAAGTCTTTTATTATGAGATAAAGATTTTATAAATCTATATAAAGAAGAATCTGAAGAATAACTTTATCTAATTTTTACAGATCTTTACAGAAGTCTCTATAATATTTATAAAGAAGAAGAATAAAGATCTCAGATTATATATAGACTACTATAATCTGAACTTTAAAATAATAAAGAGTTACTACTCTCTATCTCTGATTAAGAATATAATTAATTATCTTATAAGAGCTGTTATATTCATATAACTGAATATAATTAATATATATATTATCACACTCCCGGCCGCGCCAAGGCCTTGCTGCGGTTTCACACGGCTTATCACTTTCATGTGAATAATTTCATTCATCTCACAGATCATCTGAACCGGTTTTCAACCACTCTATGATATCATTCAGATATATCATAGAAAGATCTGATTGATGAATATAAGAACTCTGCTTCTATATAAGGTTAGCAGATTACTTTTCCTTAACAGTGAGACACTGCTGAGATATCACTCTGACTATTCTTACTTATAAAATGAGAGAAGATATTCACTCATTATCTATATAGAATAGCTAGATGCTGACTTCTTATAAAAGAAGTCAGTGATTTATTTTTCTTCTACTGAAATATATAAGAGTTACTGCATGTCTTATACAATCTTCTTAGTATACTAAGTATCATATCTGTGATATTCTCATAATAATTCTGTAGCCTACAAGCTCACTATTTAAGCAAGATAGTCAAGCTCACTTATATAGCTTCTTAAATAACTATCTCTATGTGATGTCACTGACTAGTCACTGCTTTGATTCTGTCACATTATAATTCAAATTACTTAATTTGATTATATATTTGAATCAGTCAAGCTTTAACAGATTAATATGATCTCACATATCTGTGCTGAGACTGACTTGATCTCACTCTCTGAGAGAAACACTATATCATTTTCTAGAGTGTGTACATCTCTACTTCAGCAGGAATCTGAGATTTCTGAATCTGCTGCATATTTTGACATGAGCTCTTCAACTGCTCTATCACTGCTGCTGTCTCTACACACCTATATCTATCATGAAGATAGAGAGATTAAGATCAGTGATTCTCTGAGATATAAGAGAAACATCTTGTCTGAATTTCACAGCTTTATTTATACTCTTGAATGAAAATTTCATCTTAATCTGAGTCAGTATAATACTTATGAGATATAAGTAATATACACTGTCAACCTTCTTGAAGGCATCTCTGCAACTACTTGAGTCATTAAGAAGAGAGAGCTTGAGTGTATTAATACTGTCATGACTTGAGAAGAATTCAAGAACTTTCTACTGAATTAAATTGAAGATTACTGCAATCACAGCTTTACAGCAGCACAGTGATTTAACTCATTACATTAATGAGATGATGAGAATTCTTTCAATTTTAATATAAGATTTGAAGAATATTAAGAGGAATTAACTGATGATTTAAACTAATTAAAAACACAGCTTTATCTTATAAAGCTGACTTATAAGATGCAGACAATAATATTATAATATCAGAGTTTATCAATCAATTGCACTGAGCTTATCAACCTGACTTTCTGAATCTATTTGAATAATCAATTCTCTGAGAAAAAGACTAACAAGATCTCTTCTAAGTAATCAATGATAAGATCTAAATAATGTTATGATGACTTTAGTGTGAAGAAAGTAAAGAAGAATTTTAAGTATTCTGATTCTTCACTCACTATGAAGAAATATTAAAAAAGATTTGATAAAGATCTCTGTTTCAACTGCAGAGCTGATAATCACTATGTCAGTGATTATAAGAAGCTGAAGAAGAGAAGAAACTGAGAAGATATCTTCTCAAAGTTAACTTCTCTTCTGACAAATGTATCTGTGAAAGATAAAGAAGAGAAAGAAAAGAATTGACAATTCTCATATCTCTGAGTTCATGTTATGATTACACTGTATACTCTGAATGAGAAGATATCAGTGAGATGTCTACTTAACTCTGAAGTAAATATTAACTTCATATTCTATTTCTTTTCTTTGATGAAGAGTTGAAAGAAGATAGATCTATCAGATCATGTGAAATTTACTGATGAAATAAAATATTATTATTTTGACATAATTTAAGCAAAGTGTGTGATTACAGACTCAGAAGAAATCTTTAAGAAGAGCAGTCTGCTTCTTCACATAGTTAACATTATAGATGAGAATGTCATTCTAGATCTCTTATAATTGAGAGAAAATAATTCTCTTATTAACTGAGTTACTTAGATGTGATGATACTGTCTCACTAATGAAGATTATTATTATTATTATTATTCTTCAATTATAGATGTATA